CTGTGGCATGATGTACTGAGTTTACTATCGCTGGACACTTATAAATCCCAAGATTTATTTGCCTTTTTAAGATTTTACATTTACATCACAAATTTAAACTAATAACATTTTTAGAGATCAAGTATAACAATCATGATTATGGTAACTATTTGGATGTGAATGGTCCAGACTCCAGAGTTTTATATTAAATTCTGAGATCAAATAATAAAGAATATTAAATTCTTACAAAAGTGTACAGAAAATAATAAATATAAATATGTCCCAAATTATTTTAGATAGGAATGAGACTTGCACGTTGCATTTTAGTATTCTTTTGTCTGACCGCTGAGATATGCTGAATGGTATTGCAAATCCTGTGTCTATAGTTTAAAATTTACACTGTCAGCTATTTCTAGCGTGCAAATCTGACATTTTGTCAGCTAACCATTTCTAAAATTGATATTAAAACAGCACTTCAATTGTTAATTTAAACATCTGTCACCCAGACTCTGAGTACTTAAATAATAAAAAAAACATTAAGAAAATCTTATTTGTAATTTTAACAATTGATGACGATAACTTGCACGCTCTAATATTATAAAAATTCACATCTATAGTTCTATATCAATATCAAGTATCAACTAAGGTGTACACGACAACTTTTTCATAATCAATTTTTTTTCAATTTTTGTTCATGAGAATTAGGCACAAGTTATCTGGTTAGAGTAACCAGGTTTTATCTTTTGCCGGTCGAATTACTTTTTCCAACTCCGTTATTTCAGCAACTCCTATATTTCAAATGCAAAACAGTCTGCTTCCTGTAGCCATTTGTGATGAAATAGAGAAGTTGCAGCGTGCCTTTATTTGGAGTGATAAAAATGGTCAAAGGAGATCTCATCTGGTTGCATGGGATAATATTTGCAAGCCTAAGAGTATGGGTGGCTTAGGGGTGATTAACCTTCGTGTCCAAAATATGGCTTTCTTTCACAAGCTTGCATGGACGATGCTTACGTCGCCCGATTCGTTGTGGATTCGGGTTGTAACAAGTAAATATAAGAGAGGTTTGGATCTTCAGAGGGAAGTAAATCATAAAGCATATGACTCATACTTCTGGAAAAATCTGTGTAGTGTTTGGCCATCTTTTCTTCAAGCAACGCAATGGGAGATTGGAGACGGTAATGATGCATTATTTTGGACAGACAATTGGTTGGGTTTAACTGAGTGTCTTGCCTCTCTGGCTACTCGTACTCCAACAGGTTTGGAGTTAAATCTCCCTATATTCGTCAATATCTCAATGATCAAGTTGTTGCAAGGATCCAAGCTGCTCTCATTCCTAGCGCATCAGATGGAAATGACCGCATTATTTGGAGAAATCAAAAGGTTGGCTGCTCTTTAGTTAAAAACGCGTATTATAAGATGCTTGGTTTCCCTCTCATGCCGTTGAAAAATTCTTGGACTACCATATGGAAATGGCATGGGCCTCAGCATGTTAAATCTTGTATGTGGATCATAATGCATGGCCGCCTTCTTACTAAAGACCGCACATCTAGATGGAGTGGGGAATCTGGTCATTGTAAAATGTGTCTTGGTGAGATGGAAACAAATCTCCATGTTCTAAGAGATTGTAAGCATGCTAGAAGTGTTTGGAATTCTCTGGTTTCAGCTAATCGGCAAAGCTTATTCTACAGCTTGGATCTTAGAGATTGGGTTGAAAATAATATCTCAAAAGCTTTGAATCAAAGTAATTCAGATGATTGGCGTGATGTCTTTTTATCTCTTGTTGGTTCATTTGGGGATGGAGGAACAAAAGTGTCCATGATACTAACTTCAAGCATCCAACCCATGGAACGCACATAATTGCAATGTATATAGAGGAGGTGCGTAACTGCATGGGTAGGAAGGCTATGGCTACTACTAGCATCCATCCAATTCGTATGAGTTTATGGAAACCTCCAAGGCTAAATTGGGTGAAGATTAATATTGATGGGGCAGTTGAAAGGAATACTGAGGTGGCTGCTTGTGGTGGGATTATCAGACATGATGATGGCTCTTGGTTGTGAGGCTTTGAGTATCGTATTGGTGCTTGCACTCCTTTAATGGCGGAGCTTTGGGGAACTCTAAAAGGTCTAGAATTGGTTTGGCAACTGGGATTTAAGAAGGTGAAAGTAGAAGGAGATGCTTCTGAAGTATTCTCTTTGCTTGCTGATTGCAATGCAGCTTGTCAGCCTCAAATAGTGGCTAAGATACAAGCACTCATCGGTCAGGATTGGGAGGTAACGCTTTCTCATATTCCAAGAGAAGCTAATTCCTGTGCAGATTGGTTAGCCAAGTCTGCTCTTCATAAAGATACTGGATTCTGGAGTCATAGAGTTATGCTGTTTCACCTTGCTCAGTTATTTGATTACGATCTTCAGGGAATTTCCTCTTGTAGGGATATAGACCCTGGATAGTTGTTTTTTGTTGTTTGTTTGTTTTTGTTTGGGGCTCTGCCCCTTGATGTTATATAAAAAAAAATTGATAAAAATAGTTTGACAAAATCATTTTTTTTTCCAAGAATAAACAGGTTCAATTTTGTGTTGGGGAACCGCACCATTACCACCACCACGCCACTACCATAGAACCACCATGCTACCACTACCACCATCACCGCAGTCACTGCCGTCACCACCACCACCATTGCATCCACCACTACTGCCACCATTCCATCACCACATTGTCGCCATCATCATCGCCGCAGTCATTGTAGCCATTACCATCACCACCACCACCACGCCACCATTATCAGTAGGGGTGTTTACCAACCGATCCAAACCAATTCAAATCGCGGTGATCGAACCGAAAAATCGATGACCGAATAAACCAAAAACCGAAAAACCGAAAATCGAAAAAGAAACCACAAATTTTAATTGGATTGGATCGATTTTCGGATTGGTTGATTAAAACCGATCCAATATATTAAATTTCTTCTACCTACTTGGGCCTTTCCCCAATTATTGCCCAAAAATTTCTAAACCCAAGACCTATTAACCCATCAACTAAACCCAAGAAAAAATCTAGTCACATTCCATCAACAAAATTTTATCTGTGTAGAGTTTCATATCTCATTGCCCAAAAAAAAACTATATTATGGTTTAGTGATGCTTTTGTATTTCAAAAAATAAAATAAAATTGCAAAGCCAATATATACAAAAGATGTTATTTGCACAATAATCATGAAATAAATTTTAGGATTTTCAAAAAATCGAAAACCTATCCAATCCAAACCGAAAAAATTTGGATTGGATCGGATTTGAAAAAAAAATCCAAACCAATTGGATGATTACATGATCAAACCGAAAGGATTGGATCAGATGATTTTATCGTCCAAAACCGATCTAATCCAGACCGCTAACACCCCTAATTATCAGCACTACACTGCTGCTACCATGCCATAACCAACACTACCACACTATATGAAAAGAAAAGTGATGATCCGATAATTTTTTATGCTCAATAGGAATGATTTTTATTTTATTATTTGTTGTGTTATCAAATATATTTTTAATTTTCGGAATAAAAATAAAATATATTATCAAATACATTTTTTTAAATTGTTTCAAGATACAGAAATAGAAAAAAATTATTTCCAGAAAGAACACGTAATAATTATAATATATATCCTTATCAACCTCAAATGTCTACGCGGTCAAACTATACCAAGTAGGAGTGTTCGTGGTCTGGATTGGATCAGTTTTGGAAGCAAAAATCACTTGATCCTATCCCTTCGGTTTAATCATATAATCATCCATTCGTTTTGGATTTTTTTTCAAATCCGATCCGATCCAATCCAATTTTATTCGATTTTGATTTGATCGGTTTTTGATTTTTTGAAAAGCATATGATTTGAATGATGATTATTATGCGAATAACATATCTTTTGTATGTATCGGCTTTGTAAAGTTTGTATGATGATTATTGTGCAATCTAAAAGCATTGTACATCAAAAAGTTGAATTACTATCTTTTACCTCCAACAAAAAAATTATAATACTATTACAAAAAATAAAATAAAATTATAATACGAAGTAACTCAAATTTTCATCGTATAGAGGAGTGTTATACAACAATAACCCATGTAATAAAAATATATTATGTATCTTACAAAAAAGAGAGCATACCATAGATCAAGCACATCCCACTTTCTCCAACATGATGGGTTAATGGGTCTTGAATTTAGAATTTTGCTATATGATTTTTGGGCTATGATTGGGGAAAGACCCAAGTAGGTAGATGGTAAGGTTGGAGAATTGTTGGATCGGTTTTCACAACTCATCTAAAAACCGATCCAATCCAATTAAATTTGCGATTTTTTTTTCGATTTTTGATTTTTTGATTTTCAATTTTTCGGTTTGGTCAATGCAATTTGAATTGATTGATAAACACTCTTAATACCAAGGTCGACGACAGTCCAAAGAAGGGCATATTTAGTAATAAATTTTTTTAATAGATAATAATTTTGTGTTCAATATTTTATTTTAAAACATGAATTTAATTTGTAAAAAAACAGTTCTTGTAAGATAGATCAATAACTCTTGCAGACAGGAGAAATTTTCAATTTGCATGCTCTAAAGAATTCTACTGTTGTTATGCAGCATTATGAATATGATGTCTATTAGAATTTCAAAAGGTGAGGAAAATAATGAAGAATAATTGAGATTCAGATAAAGTATTACATAAGAATAGATAAGATAGATATAAAAGAATGTACTAAAAAAAAAGTGGCTATAAAAGAAAATTATGCATAAAAAGATAGAAAATCATAATATTCTATCCCTATAAATTATCACATTCTATTAGAAAAAAGTAATTACAATAAAAATTTAGTATGAACTAGGGAGTATGAAGATAAGCGCGAGTTCCGTTGAAGGCAAGAGAGCGTGGAAGAAAAACGCGACTAGTTGATGTATGAAGAGGAAAAAGATATTCGTTCTAATTTATAATTAAGGCTCCAAAGTCCAAACATAAAATAGCGTCAGATCAGAGTCGGACAGAAGTTGATAAGAACAAACAACAACGCAACCGTTTTCTTCTTCCCGGCACTTTCACTCGCTATCTCTTTTTTCATTCATCCGCGCGCCCTGTCGTTTATTCCTCCCTCGCCTGCATTGCATTTTTGCATTGCATTCTCTCTCTCTCTCATTTATAAAACGACAACACAACCACACACCGTTTCGCTTCCCCATTCCATTGTTTGTTTCTGCAAATCTCACTAGAAAACCTCTCTGGATCCCTCGCATCGCGCATTTCAATCTCCCCATGGGAAACGCTAACGGCAGAGAAGACGGTGCCGTTACCGCCGGGGACGATCCCTCCGCTACTGAATCCGCCGTTCGTGGAGCTCACGCGCCTGATTCCCTGGCTCCGGTTCGGGCCTTCTCGTCCGATTCAATGGCTAATAGCCCCCCGCAGAGTCCCCGCCGCTCCAGATCGCCGATCCTCTTCGGCCCTCAGGTTCTTTCAACAACAACCTCTTTCTTTCTATCCACTTCCTTTCCGCTTTTCTGCGTGCGTGTGGTGTGTGTTTATGCCATTATGTGTGTTCGTTGCTGTTGAATTGAATTTGGTTAGCTCGGGTAGAATTTCGATTTTGGTTGGTCAACTAGGTGCTTCATCGATGTTGCTCATCTGTTTTCGCTCTGACTGGTTGGTAAGTTTAATGCTAACAAATATATGTTGTGTGTATGTGTACGAGAGAGAGAGAGAGAGAGAGAGAGAGAGAGAGAGAGAGAGAGAGTTAGAGCCAGTGTAAAGGGCCTCTTTTGTGGGCAAACATAGATTATTACTGAGTTTACGTTCTTAGCGTTAAAGCTTCAAAGTTTAAACGAGAATAGGTTTTTTTAGGATGTTGAATTGAACGGATCTGGGAATTATGTTATTGATCTATTGGCTCTTTGGTGCATATGATTTGTAAGTGAGGAAAGGAATGAAGGAGGAACGGTGCAGATCTAGGAGAGTTATCGCTTTAAACTGCTTCTAGTTTTCAGAATTGCTATGTCTGTCTGCTTATATAGTTACCTCACCATTTTGTAGATTCCTCGCAATAGTGCAATCTCATTTTGGTTCTGTGATAGTTGAAAACATTTTACTGGACTTGTACATACGTGAGTCACAACTTTACACTTCATACAACCGGTACGCATGACTCCATCTGAGTTTAAGTCGGCCCACACAATTCTTTTCTGGTTAGATTCAAGGAGCCATATCTGCATTTTATAGATTCCTTGTAATCGTGCAACCTCATTTTGGTTTTGTGAGAGTTGAAAACAATTTTTACTGGACTTTTACTTGTGTGTGTCACAACTCCACATTTCACACAACTGTTCCACATGACTCCATCCGAGTTCAAGTTGCCCCACAATTCTTTTCTGGTTAGACTCATGGAGCATTGTCTGCATGTTGTGGATAGTTGTAACTGAGAATTGTGTGGATAGCATGACAACATTTGGAAATACACATGCACAGTTCTTTCTTGTTTACCGGCTCAACCAGTTAATTTTGTCCGATTTGGAAATTGGAAATTTCATGCAATAATGTCCTCTGGACTTAGTGTGAGATTTGATGCTTGGAATGTCAATGACATGCTTGTTTCATGGAGTCCATTTTATTGGTGTAATGATATGAATTTTGTTTTACATCGATTTTTGTGACACCTGCCCTCCGTTACTCGCGTACTATCCGCAATATTTCTCCTTGTGAGAAACGACACGGAAGTATTGGAACATGAGTACATGACAATGCCAACGTTGACGCAATAACTTTGGATATTGTAATTAATGCACCAGGATGTAATTTCAAAAGTTTTACACCTAAGACAAGAAGATTATATGTGTTTATATTTTGATATCTGTTAAGGATATAATTTGAAAAATTTTACACAAGATTATAAGAGTGCCCCAACTAGTTTGGGATAAAGCTGATGATGTTGTTGTTGCATTCCCTCTTTTTTTTGGGTCATTGATTTACGGAGAACCTGGAGAAAAAGTCTTGTTTGGCAGTCTCCTTTCTCTCTCTCTTACTCCCCCCTCCTCTGGCTTCCCAATCTCTCTTGTGAAGAGTTGATAGATTTCCATGAATGGTAAAACCTAAAAGACAAGACTTGGTACTTTGGTTTATTTTATATGACTTACTGTTCATTCACTATTTGACTGCATTAGATGATTTTGTATTTTTTCCAATGTTTCATATATCTGATCCTTAGTTGTTCCCCAGTTCTTTTAAGGTGAATGAATTTGCATAATTTAATTTAACATGGATATCTGAGAACTGGTTTTCTTACCTTTCATATATGGGCAGGTTTTTCCCAGGTGTGCCAATGTGTATGTGTTGATTTGTGTCTTACATCTGAAGATTTTCACTCTCTATGTTAAGTAGTAGAATATAATCTTGTGAAAAAATTTGGACATTTTCAAGTGTATGGGGCTGTGGTCAGCAGAAAAATCATTTCCTAGTCAGTTAAAAAGAACCTGTCAATATATGGGAAATGACTTTCTATCTTCTATGGTGGAAATTGTTTTCCAAAAGAGTTTTGATCTTGAAGGAGTAGTGCCCCCCATAGCATTTTCTTATTCTTATTATTCTGCACCTTCCAGCAACCTTGGTTAGGCACAAATCATGACATATTTGAATTGATTTATTTTCGCATGATTCAATTCAATTGATGTGATCATTAACTATTTTAAATACATAGTTTTAAATCTGGAACAAGATGATTACCCTCTCAAACCTGTTAGGCTTCGTAAAATATCTCGTACCACCATATTAACTAGGCAAAATCCAGAGTGATTGGTTTCGCTTTGCACCATAGCTATTTGCCCTTGCTAACCAATCCAATGAAACTCCATTGTTATATTTTCATATGAATGCAGGAAAATTAGAGGCCACGCTTATTTTGGTAACTCATAGTTATTGTTACCTATAAATATGCCAGCACTATTCTCAAGGTCATAAAAATGACTAGTGACAAACATGTGCATGAATAATCTAAGCTAGCTACATTTTTTTCCCTTGCCTTTTTGTGATTTTTTTTTTGAAATCGTAAATGTGCATTTCTTTGATAGAGATTTGGAAAAGAGAATATTATTGTGTTCCATTAAATGACATGGCTGCTAGATAATTTGTTTAATATTAATATTTCATTGGTTTACGATTTGATCCGTGAATGCATTGTGTGAAATGATGATATACTTGTTGATGGATCAACTTAAATTGTTTTGTGACTATACACTCTTTATTGGAAATTTTCTTTGACTTTGAGTGACTTTTGCCAATAAATTGAAGATGTTGACAGAAATGTATTGTTTTGGCCAATTAAAGTTCACTTTCTCTCTGAAAAGTACAATTTTTTGGCTTGTTATGGTCATAAGTTTAGCTTGGTCCTGATTATGAGCAATATAATAGCTTCCCTTTGTAGGTATTCACAATTAATTGTTCTATTTTAAATTGTTTTGGAATAATGCTACTTGGACAACTATTTTGGCACAAACTATGCGCAACTGCCAATGTGGGTGCATCTCAATAATGCTATCCATTTAACATGTGTGTCCCACTAACATTTGTTGTCATCTCAGATGCAGCGACATCAAAAATTGTGGATAGATTTTATGAGGAGCAATTTTTTATTGTTTCACAGATGTTTGATTTGTCCCTTTGCCATTTTGGTCAGATTTCCTTGGATGTGTAATGAATTGTTGTCCAAGTTAGGCTTCCCAATAATAGAAACAAAGAGTGGAATGTTAAAGAAAATCCAAGAGTTTCCATAATGGGAAGTTTGATTCAATAAGCTTGTATTTGAAAGTTGAAACTATAGGATCTGCTTTAGAAGAAAGTTTAAAGAAAACGTATAGGAAGTTAGACTTAAAGATGCTTTTTTCATATCTAGGTTATTAGTAGTGTGCGATAGTGACGCAATCCCGCAATAGATGCACGTTGCGGCCACCTTCTGTATTTCTTATATGCAACGCGATGATATCTAGTGGCCACAATCGTGGTCAATGAGATGACAATTGTATCGCTACAGTTAAAGAAAGGCAAATCCTAATATTTTCTCTTACGTAATTGGTTACCCATTAATGGGCCTAGAATTGGCACAAGTGGCGCAATAGAATGCAAAAGGGAGAGTTAGTTAGTTACTTAATTCTAGAATATTCTTAGGTGATAGGATAAAAGGAGGTGGAATGTGTGGAATGGGATATGCACGTGTTGAGTGAATATTGGGGAATTGAGGATCTCTTGGAGCCTAGGTTTGTTGGTTCTAAAGGTGAGTTAGGGGTCTTTTGGTGTACTAGTTTGCAATTAGTGTTTGTAAGGAGCTTGGCTCCATTACTGTTTTCATTAATTTTAGCTTTATAAAATTGGGTTCCATCAATTTGGTATCAGAGCTCTTTTAGAAGGAGTTGAGTGTCACGTGGAACGATTGGAAGGAAGTATGGGAAGGGTGCAAGAAGTTGTCCGTCAATTGCGAGAAACAGTTTTGAGATTTCTGGATCTAGTGGATCCGCGCGATACAGGTACTGGTATTGGAAATCTGAATGGAGTGTGCGGAGGAGAAAATTTGAACAGAAACGCGAGGGGTGAAGAAGAAGCAAAAGAAAAAGTAGAAAAAGCGAAAGAAGAAGATGAAGAAAAAGAATAAGAAAACGTAGCAAAAGTAAAAGAGAAGAACTACAACAACCAGAAGACGATGAAGAAGGAGAGAAAGAAAAAGACGAAGACTAACTGGTACATGTTAGCAACAAGGGTTGAAGAAGAAGCAAAAGAAAAAGTAGAAAAAGCGAAAGAAGAAGATGAAGAAAAAGAATAAGAAAACGTAGCAAAAGTAGAAGAGAAGAACTACAACAACCAGAAGATGATGAAGAAGAAGGAGAGAAAGAAAAAGACGAAGACTAACTGGTACATGTTAGCGACAAGCTTCAGGTGAGCAACACTGGGGTAGAAATGGAATTTTGCCAAATGGGTTCCAATTTTAACCTAATGGGTCAAGCCCAAAAGTGTGGTTGGAAGGAAATAAAATGGGCTCTACCCAACCCATAGACACAAAAAGTATAGTTATTAAATCTATGAAATGGGTGCTGAAAATAATATTAGGCCAAGAGAAAAGCAAACTACATGGGCCAGAATTAGTGGATTAGCTAAAAGGGATACAACATGTGTGTGATTTTCCTTCATGGCTGAAACACATTGAGGTTAATGGAGCCTCCAATAAACTCTATTTTGTGGGTAGAAATGCCACTGAAAATAGCTTCAAACAATGGGACCCGAGTGGAAGTTCTCTCGCATTACCATACCTCTTTCCTTACCTTGAGGACAAGGTGAGTTTTGGAGGGGGAGTATTGATCGGCCATAACAAGTGGGCCCAAGTCCAGCAATGGTTATGTGGTTATAAGCAGCGAAAGGGGTTGAGGGAGGGCATGGAAATCATTGGGAAAGGGAAAGGGAACTCTGCAACTGCAAGATAGGGTTGTTTCTTGTGGAGGGAGTAATAGGTTGAGTCTTTGTTGTTACTGTAATCTGTAATCAAGGTCCTATAATCTGTATTTTCTTGTTGTTACTGTCTAAGTTGTTTGTCAATTGTATCCCCAATTTGTGATTAGTTCAATAGTAATTCTGTTCCTTAGAAATTGGGTTCCATCACCCATACACAATTTGAGGGGGTGAAATTGACTTTCGAGTTTTGACCCCTTTTTTTTTCCTGATACTGTTACTGTTCTAAGTTTCGAACCCTATTTCTCGACTTGTGCCTCTCTTGACTCAATTTCCGCCAACCCCATCACAATTCTGGCAGTTTACCATTGGTTTTCCAAAAAGTTCACCACAATTTGCTTTTGTTTGGGGTTCCACTGTTTGCCTCTGTTTGTGGTTTCACAGTGCCTCTTTTTTTTCACCTTAGTTTTCCGGCATGTTTGCCTCTTTTCATCCAAGGCCACCCCAATTTTTCTGCAAGTTTGTCTCTTCACTACTTTCCTGCTCTCTTCAGTTCAGAACTTCAACCATGGCTTTATCCTATTTACAGTATTTGTATTTCAATGAATTTCTGTTCCAGCCTTTATATTTGAATTTTCTATTTTTGAGATTTTATATGCGTAGTGTATTTTACCGCTATCCCGTTATAGCATTTTTGGGGTCAGTCTGTATGTGCCATTATCTGGGATAATAACTATGTTTAATATAGATGTAGGTTGACATTATTGTCTTGTCCATGTTAGTATAGTCTCAGTGAATACTATACGCAAATGTAACTATGAATAGTTCTGTCTGCAAAAGTCCATGATCTACTGTTGAAAGGCTGGCATTGGCTAATTCTTGTGGTGTATAACTCTGTATTTGCACAAACAACAGTATCTGATTTTATCTGGAAAGCCTTTAGAGAAATTTCACTGATTTAACAATTTTATATGCATAGATGATGGAACCCAGAACAGAAGAATGAAGAGAAAATGTGGATGGTGTACATTAGGAAGAAGAAAAGAGAAGATAAAGAAAATGAAGCCAAGCAGTTAGAGTAGTTACAGAATTGGTTAAAGCTGTGAAGAGCAGGGGCTTAGCTTAAATAGTAGGGGAGGGTTAAGCATGGATTCAGATTTGTTAGTTCTGTGAAATTGTGCTCTGGCTCAGTTGTAAAAAGGGAAACCCTTGGAAGGAGAATTTTCTCCATTTTCTGGATGTGTTTCAACAAACCGTTTCAGATTTGTTCTCTCTCTCTGTCTCTCTCCTAGATCTCTCAGCTTTCTTTCTTGTGGGTCTTTAACAATAGACGAGACTGAAACAAGCTAGTTACCTCTTGGTATCTTAGATGATAAGACACCATTTAGGAAAAGTAAGTGTGTAGACTCAACTTTTGACTATAAGGAGTGCATGGTAGTGCACAAGCACCACAACTAGTTGCATTGCTGTTCTTGTTGACTTTGCAGTCTCCTTATGGAAATGATAAATAGGTCCTGAAACATCCCTTATTATCCACGATCAATGTAAAGCTTTCTCTACCTAATATATATGTATATATTATTGTGTGTATGTGTAAAGCTTCCCTTACTGAAGTTTTAATTTCATTTTAGTCAGTTTTTTTTTTTTCTAATTTTTTTTGGTCAAGAAATAAGTATTTAGATCTTATCAGTGTCTGAGTGGCATTACAAATAAATAAATAAATATAGGATTTCTCTGTGCTTTTCAGGTCCCTCTAGCTCCATTAACAAGAGGTAATGGCCCTCCTTTTCTCAATCAAATGTGGCAGAATGAGTCGCATGGTATTGTTAATCAACCTCCTGAGCAAGGAATCCCTGTCATGATTACATGGAATTATGGTGGGAACAATGTGGCTGTGCAAGGATCCTGGGATAACTGGACATCTAGGTGAGATATAATGACTCCTTTGTCAGTAACGATAGCTTTATTGTATTTGAGATGAAAAGTTATCATAATTGCAATTATTCTGTAATGGGATTAGTACCGGTGAATTTTAATTACTTGCAGGAAGGCATTGCAGCGAGCTGGCAAGGATCACTCAATTCTTGTAGTCCTGCCATCTGGAATATATCATTACAGGTTCATTGTTGATGGTGAAGAGAGATATATTCCAGAACTTCCTTATGTAGCTGATGAGATGGGGCATGTCTGCAATCTTCTTGATGTTAATGTATGCATCATCCTTTTTGTTTCTTTGGTTTTATTTCTTTTTCTCTTTGAAAATATCTTATTTCATCGTGAAATTCATCCTCCTATATACTTAATTGTGCATGTGCATTATTCTCCTTTTGGTATGAGGGCGATTGCTCCAATTAGGTTGTTATAAGATGAACTTGACATACAATTGACGCCAAAGTTTTTCATGGGTTTTTGTGCTTTTAGGGTTAGGGCATTAGTGTGATGAAATAGGCAATGCTTAATAGTAGGATGAAACTAGAGTAGAAAAACTTTTTAAGTTTGTTCATTGGTTCACATGAGTTTGAGGTTGACAAGCAATATGAAGAGAAAATGCAACTAGTTATGAAGAATGTTAATATTTCCTTATCTCAATGAGCCCAGCATCAGTGCTCTTGATTAGTGGATTATAAGGAAGTATCATCCCTTTTTGATGAAATTGATTTGTTTTCTGTTTGATAAGTTGAATTTTCTTGTTTTCTGCAGGATTACGTGCCAGAAAACCCTGAAAGTGTTTCTGAGTTTGAGGCGCCAGCCTCCCCAGAATCCAGTTATGGTCAAGCATTTCCAGCCGAGGAAGACTTCGCAAAAGAGCCAATGGCTGTTCCTTCACAGCTACATCTTACTGTCCTAGGTATGGAGAACTCTGACGTAGTTTCCTCTTCAAAACCTCAACATGTTGTGCTAAATCACGTCTTCATAGAGAAAAACTTGGCCTCGAAGTCTGTTGTTGCCCTGGGACTGACTCACAGGTTTCAGTCCAAATATGTGACAGTTGTCCTTTACAAACCACTCAAGAGGTAAATATGTGTCAGTTGTCCATTATAAAATCCGTGTTATTTTGTTTTTATTTGTAGCCTCAGTCTGTAAAGATGAAAAGTTTAAATGATACTCCCCCCCGCAAGTGGTATATGAAGGTCTTGTGTCTATAGATATGCTTCAAAGTAGCTTGTGCTTCTGTTTCTATTTGATATATTGAAACTTTTTGTTTTTCAATAGCTTTTTGTTTGTTTGGTTTATTTCCTGCTAGAATATTGAAATATCAATAGGGTGCCTTAAATATGATGTTGCTAGCGCTACTGAAGGTGGTGTCGTGGTGCTGGTCAAAGTTATGATTTTTGGTTTATAGTATCAAGTAAAAGCACACCACTAAGTGCATACAATTTATAGAAATTTCGGTTCATAAGTAGTGAAACTAGCTTACTTGTTAAAGAGCTAGGATTACAACATAAAGCAAGCTTGTTTGGTTAATATTTCCCCCCCTGCAAGTCCTCTTTTTTCACGCTTCTCAAGAGCGTTGTAAGGTCTTCCTCTAAATGTTTGTTTGCATTTAGTAGTGGTAAAACAAACAAGAGAAATTCTTACATCGAACCATTCATTTTTTCCCTCCTTTTCACTCTTAGGTTGGATTTGGTATCAGCTTAAATATTTAGGGATTTAAAGTTTAAATGATCAAATGTCAAGGTGTTAATGTTGAGGGGGTAAATTTTCATATTAATAGTATTTGGTTGATTAATAATTGGGATTTGCATTTGTCATTTAATGTAACAGCCCCAAACCCTGTAGCATGATATTGTCCGCTTTGCCCTGCGCACAAGCACCGTCGAGCTCACGGTTTTGTTTCTTGGGACACCCCACAAAAGGCCTCACACTAGAAGAGGTATCCACACCCTTATAAGGCATGCTTTGTTCCCCTCTCCAACCGATGTGGGACATTACATCCTCCCTCACTGGGAATACAGCGTCCCCGCTGTACACACCGGTCCAGGGCCAGGCTCTGATACCAAATGTAACAGCCCCAAACCCTGTAGCATGATATTGTCCGCTTTGCTCCGCGTACAAGCACCGTCGAGCTCACGGTTTTGTTTCTTGGGACACCCCGCAAAAGGCCTCACACTAGAAGAGGTATCAACACCCTTATAAGACATGCTTCGTTCCCCTCTCCAACCGACATGCTTGTGTGCGGGGCAAAGCGGACAATATCATGCTACAGGGTTTGGGGCTGTTACATTTAACATGACACAACAAATTTTTTTACACACACAGCATTTTGTGGGTTCTACACTTTTTGAAGAAAAAGTAAAAAAAAGAAATTACGGCACGCAAAACGAATCTCTATAACATTACACAATTACTTTTCTTACAACATAACTCTTATAAAACTCTTAGTAATTACCTCGGAATGAAGTTCCGGTTTTGAAATAGAGATTGTGCTCTGTTTTGGTTTCCAATTGGGCTTCAGCATGATCACTAATATTATTGGCGAGTTGCAAAGATAAGGCGTGGAACTTAGAAACAACAGGTTGAGAGATTTTGAATGGACGCTCGGTTTCGCATTAGAAATTGACTCCAAGGTGAAGGCTGAATACTTGAACTCAGTATCGATGCCCTAGCTAGGGGAGAGATAGAGAGAGGGGTTTTGCAAATAGCAGCAGAGAGGAGGGCTTTGAAATGGACGAGAGAAAAAGAGTGATATGCTGAAAAAATTAAGGAAGAGTGGGGGAGAAATTTTACATCAGTGGGGATTGGTGTAGCATTTATGTACATAAAAGGGATGTATTGTTGTCATCAAGATGAGAAAAATCTAGCATATTAACTTTATTAGTTAACCTTTCTTCTTTGGGAGTCAAACCTTTATGAACTAAATAAAATGGAGACTATAAAAGAGGTGTATCGGTGGGTTTTTGTGGATAGTTATCCTTTGTGGCTCTTCTTGTGGGGTTTCTTTTATGCAATATTCATTTATTATTATGCAATATAAAATGAGACATCTATAAAGAAACCTTGCGAAATTTCATGCGAACTGATTTATGTTCCCAACGTGCTAAATCCACCACCATGACATATGACATACAGATGATCTCTTCGTGTTTTTCCATTTGCATCCAACTTGGTGTTCACTGCTCAATACACGAGTCACAACATCCATGCTCAAAACCCCCAAGCTTTAATTGCAAGAGTTTTTCAGCTCAGTGCACAGTATATATAACAATTCCATTCAGGGGCGTAACAACGTGTAGTCAGTCTGAGGGGAACAGCCGCATCTCCTACACCGATAAACTTTATATATATATATATATATATATATATATATATATATATATATATATATATATATTCGTGAGAAGAAATATTTATATATTTTGTTAAATTTACAATATATGAACAATCTGCAACCCCCAAAAATATTGATCAGGTTCCTCCCTTTATTGAGATGCTATCCACCTTTCTTATTGCTTCCTCACTTGCAACAAATTTTATGAGTGTCAAACTAACGAGTATGACGATCTAATGAAATGTGTAGTTTCAATTAATAAAATTGAAGTAGAAGAATGTTTCCGCTTAATTTAACCAGACCCGATTTGTCCCGATTACATGCAGGTCGGCCTATTGTGGGATGGTTAAGTTTACAAGTTCAAAAATGTTATAATTAATTATAATTATCAAGTTTATATATTTTTGTAAATTTATTAAATGTTTTTTAAATTTTATTTATTTTAACTAAAAATTAATTTTAAGTATTTTAATAAATTTAGTTTAATATTTTTTATACAACTTAATTAAACAAATTATTTAAAATTGATATTTATAAAATTTAATTTATAAACGAATAAAGAAAATATAAATTAACAGACTACTCCAAATAACCTGCAGCCCACCATCAATGTATTAACCCTAACCCATACTATATTTATAATTTGACTTACCCATATTTAGTTCAATTCGCAACCAGCCCTACCCCTCAAAATCAGAGATATTGAATCCATTTTATTCTGCTTTTTTTTCTTCTCATGTTTTGATTTTTTTTTTTTTTGATGATTTATTTCCCTTTAACTTGGTTCCATTGAACACGTTACTCTGCCCAAAGCAGAGAATCTAACGCACGATGGCAGCGATTCGAATTTAGAGGTATCGAACGCGCCTAAAGACCAGAATGGCCAAGAGCCCAAGACATAACAAAGGCACCAATTCCAACAAACATGTTTGTTCTCTTTCCTAGTTAGGTTTTGGAGCAAGGACATAAAAAGTTTACCATTCTAATGCTAAAGAATCATGCGCGACACGCCACTGATTCAAAAGAGGGTCCAAAAATAACGAGGGCAGATGTTGTTGGCCGTACCAGTACGTAAATCCAGAGTGGTGACAAATCAAGAGGCCAGGCAAATAATTAAGATAAAAAAAAGTATGGTATCAAAGTTCCCCCGAACCACGACAAATTGAAACAAATATTAACAACCAAAATATATGCGTCATCTTAAAATTGTGTTACTCTAAATGAGAGAAAGTTATAATTTATAAAAGATATAATAGCCAAAAAATATAAAGATATAAGTCTCACTTTTTGTGTGGATGAAATAACACAAATTATATCATTTTAGAAGGACAAACACTTGTTCCATATTAACAATAAGCCATTTCCCAATTCCCAAAAAACCACCTTCGTTTCTACAACTTAAGAACTCTTTAACTCCTAGCACGGCACATCCATGCAACATGTATCAGTTTGAGACTATCGCCTTGATTATTGCATTTTATATATTCAATTATCCCAATTTTCCAAATCATAAAACAAATTGGAATAGTCTTTGTATATATATATATATATATATACATTCCTTTCATCAGAAAAATCATCTGTTTTGCTAAAGGCGTTGACAAAATAACACAACACTCTAGATCTAGATCGCAGCAATGTTGGTAACTTTCACACTAGGAGAAAGAAAAGAGGCGAAGCAATTAAGATGATGTGTTTCGGATGAAGAAAAATATATTCTTTCTTTCACTAACGAGGCCTACCTCCTTTCCAATATCAAGACTGAGAGTCAAGAAATGCAAAATGATCACAGGTTCAATTATAAAGCATAAGATGATATTAACAGTATCAGTCACCCACATGTAAAAGCACAAATTTCAACCAATTGTTCCAGGTTCATAATAATAATTACCAAAAAAAGATGAAAAATGAAGTACCAATGCATGGTGAGACCAGCTAATCCAAACTAGTAAAAACAAGGGACAGAGCAAACAAGTAGGATAGTAATGAGCAATACCAATAAAACAAACAAACCCGACCAACAAAAACTAATGACCCCAAATGAAGATGTCCTAATGAAATATAGAATTCTCATCAAAACTTATCAGCCCTGTCCCTTTTCTTTTCATAAGCTTTTCAAATTTTGGTTATGGTTGAATGGTCCTCACTTAGCCATCATGACTTTGACAAACTCCTCATAGTTGATCTGTCCATCACCATCAACATCAGCCTCGCGAATCATCTCATCAACTTCTTCATCTGTCAGCTTCTCACCAAGATTGGTCATGACATGGCGGAGCTCAGCTGCAGAGATGAAACCGTTCTGATCCTTGTCGAACACGCGAAAAGCTTCCTTAAGCTCCTCCTCTGAATCAGTATCTTTCATCTTGCGGGCCATCAGGTTGAGGAATTCTGGGAAATCAATGGTACCATTCCCATCAGCATCAACCTCATTTATCATGTCCTGCAACTCAGCCTCGGTTGGGTTTTGCCCAAGTGACCGCATTACAGTCCCAAGTTCCTTGGTAGTAATACAACCTGTAGCATTTTTTTAAAGAAATTAGTTAGACACACAAACAAGGGAATATCATTATCCAGTTTAAGAATCATTGAACAGATATTTAGATCTAATATTTGTTTTTCTTCTCAAGGCAAAAGTTTAAAAAACATATGAACACTAGAGACAGGAATGTACACATGGAGAGTCATAAACACAAAATTCCAGGTCATTTTCATCCTTTTTCTACGATTCCATAAATCTATAACTATAAATTTATTATAAGCAAAAAATATCGAAGCATGAGGCCATTACAAGGCAGCTCTATAGGTAACATCTAATTGCTATTTCATTCTCAGATATATCTTCACAAATGCACTGCACAAACGTAAAGGGGCCAATCCCATATTGAATTATTTACAAATCCAAACACGCAGCACCAAATTCCATACCAAATAAGCAATTCTGATAGTGAAATCAAACAACCAGAAATCAAATATCAATTAACAGCTGAAAATATTTATGCAAACATAAAAAAAAAAAAAAGGATTCTTAAAATAACTAATGATCCACCCATACCCAAAATCAGTAAACACAAAATATCATCATGTGAGGGATCACACGAGACATTAACAAAGAGGAAAACAGGAAAGGAAAGAAATTTCAGCAAAGACGTAAATCCAATTCGAACACCCAAAAATTCAATTGGGCGAAAAGTCAAACGAGAAGGAACCCTAGAGGTGAACAAAAACAGAAACAAAAAAAAAAGTTTCAATTTTTATTTAATTTATTTAAAAGGGTGGTGTAAACAAAATTGCCATCATGTAGAACAGAGTTGAAATGAAAACAGATCTAAGAGAAGAAAAAAGGGATCTGAGAAATGAGACCATCGCCGTCCTTGTCGAAGAGGCTGAAGGCCTCCTTGAACTCAGAGATCTGTTCGTCGGTGAGTTGATCGGCCATTGGGTTGGGTGTTTGGGAAGCGAGAAAATCAGCGTTTCAAACGGGAAAGAGAAGGAAAATAATATGCGTGATGTTATGTCCACAGATGACAGAGGGAAGAAAGGAAAAAGAGCATCATGCTATTTATAGACTATTTACAGTTACATACCCAAAGGCCAAGGGCTTCTCTTCTCTCCCTTTCTCTCTTTCTTTTTGTAGAATTTAATTCCTTAATTAGAAAAATAATCTTCTTCTCATAACATCAAATGCAATCATATATATATTATTCAATACTTACTTAGTGTATTAATCTAATGGATTCTCTTATATTTAAGGTAACAAAAATCTTGTGTCTTTTAATAAGACTTAAGTTCTAATCTATTCCCTTATATGGATTGTAGTACCAATAAGCAATGTTAATGTTATATGCTCAGAATGGGATTTTCATGTTCTGATCATTATACTAATAGATTTAGATCATTATAAAAATTATCAAATAAAAAGTATATATATGAGGTGGTAAGTTTATTTGGTGGTTAGTAAAACCTTTTCCAAAAAATATATTAAAATTGAATTTGGTTTTTTTATTTTTAATTTAAATTATTTCTTTAATCCTCAGTACTTAAAAACATAACTATACCAGTCTTTTTAACTTGTGGAGGGAGTGAATATTTATATTTTGGGTTTAATAGTTATATATAAATCATGGGAGAGAAATTGGATATTATTTTTAAAATTTAAATTTTTAATAAAAAATACTAGATTGTGTTTTTCTCTCACTTAAAATAACATAGTTTCATGTTATTTAATAGGACAAATATTTTTCCCTTATATTTTAGTTAACATTTTGTAAATTTCAATTAAAAAAATTTGGTATGGCAGACCACTTCGTTTTGACAGAAATTATTTTCTCAACTTCTAATACATTATTTTTATCAGAATTTTGTAGTTTGAATTAAGGGCAATGCTTTTTTCATGCTATTGGAGAGGAGGAAATCTCCTACACACTCAAATTTATGGTGGGGCCCACACATAAAAAATAAAAAAATTATTGCACGCAAAACGAACTCTCACTAACATGAGAAGGGAGCTCTCCTACAACATAAAAATTCTTTTTCCCTTGAATTAAATGTATAAACTTTTTTTATTATAATTATCAACTCATATAATTACCAAAAATATATAAGTAAAGTATATGATTAATTTTTTCTGTAATAAAAATAGATAAGTTATATGTACTAAGCTCAAAACGATATTATTTTGAGCAGAAATCAAAGTATTTTTGTAATTATAATTTAGTTTAAGATTATAACAATCTTTATAATTATAATTTTTTAATCTTTCAACTCAAAACAATATCATTTTAACAATGTAGATAACTTATTTATATTTATTGTAGTAATATTAAATCGAAAGTATATATAGATATTCATTAATTTCCGAATTAGAATATCTAATCTTATACAAACCCATTCTTGGGGAACTTCTGCCACGTGTCTGTTTCTCCTTTACTTTCAGGTTTGCTTTCACACTACACAAATTCAAAAAGTTTCCTTCTTTGATAATTCATGAAATAAAAAAATTATAAAACAAATTATAATCTCGACTCAAAATCAATGGACACGATTTGCTATCTCAATTCAATGGTGCAGATTTGTTCTCATTTGTATTGGCACACAGCTCATCTCATTTTCAAATTTTAAATTTGGAGTTCAAAATTTAAATTTGATTTTAAAAAGCTGACAACTCAATTAATGTTCACCTACTTTCTCCGTTGGAATTGTTAAAAGTTTAACAAAATCTACACGCCTTCTCATTTTTTTTAGTCGTTAACTTATTTTCACATCTTCTTCTTTCTCCTGTTCTTCGTGTTATTTTTTTTCCAGCTTCCATATCAGTGCAAAAACACATCCTTTTTCTTTCTCCTGTTCTTCGTCGTTCTCTTTTCGTGCAGATTCAATCAAATTTTTCTCATTTTTTGTTGTTCTTTTTGCATCTTATAGTGTTCCTTTGCGTTTTGCAGATTAAATCGAGTTTGAGTGGATATGCTTAGAAGCATTAGAATCTCTGATTTCTTTGAAGATATTCTTCACGCCATTTTTTTGAGTGTATATGGTTATCTCCTCTTTCTTTCATTTTTTATTATTATTTTTCAATAATTTCTTCACGCAATTTCCACTTCCTTCTTAAGCTTCAATTAAAGTTGTAATGTGCAATTGCTCTTTCTCTGTTTTTTTTTTTTGGATTTGCAGACCGAGTACAAAATATGGATTCAGATCCTGTTGCTATTGTCCAGGTTCATGGATATTTAAGACGGAAGGTGACTAATTTTTTAGAAGTTTGGATGAATACGAATGCATCTGAAGCATTTATGGTACCATGTAATGAAATGTCCAAGCTTTTTTTTTTAAACCTTTGTCAGCTCTGTGATTTATATGAAAATGATTCCATCTTCGATAAATTTGAGTGCTGTCTTTATATATGTTTAACTGCTGAATTCTTTATACTATAATTACGAACCTTAGATGCATGTTTTAATCTGGAAAATTGTATTCCTTTCTATTAATTTTTGGAATGGTAAATTGATCTTTTTCCAATGCTATCTCATTGCCAGAGAGCTTGGAATAAACCTGTGTTGGACCATGTGGGGCTACTAAACCAAATAAATGGTTTATTTCCTAATTTTTTGGTATTACCATTTTTTAATTGGAAGGTGATTATTCTTAAGTGATCCATTTTTACTTTCCCTTGCATATCTTATGGTTTCCTTTTATACATGTATTGTTTTCAGAGGTGGTGGTTTTTGCAAATTGTGTAGCCTGTCTCCACAACTTCAGGAATTCGTTGGAGCACCAGAAATGGCTAGGACATTGGTATACTTTCTTTCTTTTTCTTAATTTTTTGGTAAAAATAAATGGTAGTAAAGGTAGGTTACCCCGTTGCTATTAGTCAAGAATACATAGAATTTCTATAAGAGTGAGTATATAATGTAATTCTGTTTCTGGCCTTATAACATCTATTTATAATGTTGGCCTTAGGTTGTTAAGCAATTATGGGCCTATATTAGGGAGAAAAATTTGCAAGACACAAACAATAGGCGAAATATCATTTTCGATGAACCTTTGCGTGCCCTTTTTGGTGTCCATTCAATCAACATGTTCCAAATGAATAAAGCATTGTCAAAGCATATCTGGCCATTGGATTCAAATGATGGTATGTTTCTGCAACCCTACCCTCCTTCTTACTAATTTTTATGTTATTTTCAACTCAGATGTTGGATCTCCTTTTAGATTATCATTTTTCATTTTATTTTTTAGACGAGGTACCTAATCCTTTTTTAATTTTCGCTGTATTATTTTCTTCGTGCACCAGATCCCTTTACATATTGTTACATTATGAAAGAACTACCACTGATTTATAATATATTTTTCCACTCTACTGAATTACTGATTGTTAACTTTTATTTCATGACATTGCAGACCTGAGCTTTGTTTTATTCCTTTAGTCAATTTTTTGTAAACAATTCAAAAATATTGTTTAAACTGCATCTCTTGATGTAGTTGTCCAGGTGAAGTCAACACCAAAGGAAAAGTAGAAGAAGCAGGAAAGAGAAGATGGTATGATTAATGATCTATGTTATTTGTCTACCTGGTATCACAACCCCTTCCTTGCTAATTATAAATAAGGAAGCTTGACATAATGGTAAAAATGTTTTATCAGTCATGAAGTCAAGTACCTACTACTGAACAATGTATTAGTCACAGAGTCAAAAGAATCAAGTGCTCACACTTGAGTATTGGCCCCTGCTACCAGCCCCATTTTTTTGCATTTGCTGTCAAGTTTTTAGAGAAATTGTTCACACTAATGGTTGGTTATACCTTTTAACATTGCCACCAAAAAATTAATCGTTTGATACCCACCATTCTATTTTTTTGTTTTCCTTTCTCTTATTGATTTATATTTGGTTGCTATGTATAGGTATTAAGTTTGAAAAGCTCGAGATACACGCAAGGCTCGAATTGGTTAGCCATGTAATTCACCATAAGAATATCAGCAAGAGTTCTACAAGCAACCCCTCAATACGAAATGATTGAGTATGTTCTACTCTTGGTACTACTTTTGTCTTTTGTGGTAATTTCGTTGAAGAGAGGTGCTTTTATTTGCTTGTCATTTGATGATGTCTTCAACTTCTTGAGTATTAACTTGAGAGCCCTGATGTCAAAAAACAAAATTTTATTTTAATTTTTAGTGTAATAATAATAAATATTTTTACATCTGAATTTTTACATCGGTAAGCAATATGTTTTAGATGAGTATATAGAAATTAAAATATCTTTATGTATACATTTATTGGCATGTAAGTATTATTATATATAGCAGATAATATTTAATTATCATAATTTTTTTTAGAATTAAGGTAATTTATTTTAATAAATTTTAGAACTTTTCTCATTTTGAATATAAAATTATCATAAATATTTTAAATCATTTTTAAATAATAAATACAGCAAATTGTTTTTGCAGATTTTCGTTGAGGTTTAATCATAAATATAACGCTCCGCATTTCAGTTTATTCGTGATTTCAACATCAGAAGAAGTTAAAAGTTTTCAAGCTTTTTCGATTTTTGTTGAAACTGGAAACAAAAATGATTTTAATTAAAATACAATTATTATGAATATTGGGTTAGTTAACTGCCATTTTTGTCCAGTATATAACGCTCTGCGTTTCAGTTTATTCTCTGTAAATGTCATAAAGCATACCGTGAAAGAAATTTTAAAAGACATTAAAGAATTAGACATAACAACACATCATTAACTCCCATTTATTAATCAATCAATTTCTCACCAAAACACAATTAAAATTTAAAAGAGAAAATTATAGATTAAACAAAAAAAATGTTTAAAATTATAAAAATTTAAATATAGTTGATACAATATAATTTAAATTTGGAAATTAAATGAAAAAAAATAAACTTCAAAAGAAAATAAATTAAAATTTTAACTTAAAAAATAATTAAAAAAAGAAAAAATTTCGTATCAGTATTTTAAAAAAAATTAATATAAACGTTTTTAATTTTTATGTATAACCAATTTAAAAAATATAAAATTTTAAATTAAAAGAGAAAAAAGTTACTTTAAAAAAAAATATGTATAATTAATATAAAATAATTTAAACTGTAACTTTTAAATTTAAAAGTTATTAGGAGATTTTTAATGCACATATTTCGATTTTCTTCTCATTCCTCACTCTTTGGAAATTCGAATTCTGAATTGATTTCAAATTTTGGATTTCAATTTTAAATTTCAAATTGTAATGATGGGAAAGGATTTGGAAATAAACATTTAAATAAATAATAATTTCTTTTAAAAATCAAAATAAAAAATCAATGGAAAATTAAGTTAATTATTTATGGTGGCAGACAACTCATTCAATGTTCCACTGATTTGTACATTGGAATTACTTAGCTCTTTTAAATGCTTTCTGCGTTGGAATTGCTCACTCTTTTGAAATTCGAATTCTGAATTGATTTTAAATTTTGGATTTCAATTTTAAATTTCAAATTGTAATGGTGGGAAAGAATTTGGAAATAAAAAATTAAATAAATAATAATTTCTTTTAAAATCAAAATAAAAAATCAATGAAAAATTAAGTTAATCATTTATGGTGGCAGACAACTCATTCAATGTCCCACTGATTTGTACATTGAAATTACTCAGCTCTTTTAAATTCTTTCTGCATTGGAATTGCTCACTCTTTTGAAATTCGAATTCTGAATTGATTTCAAATTTTGGATTTCAATTTTAAATTCAAATTGTAATGGTGGGAAATGATTTCGAAATAAAAAATTAAATAAATAATAATTTCTTTTAAAATTTGAAATAAAAAATCAATGGAAAATGAAGTTAATCATTTATGGTGGTAAACAACTCATTCAATGTCCCACTGATTTATACATTGAAATTACTCAGCTCTTTTAAATGCTTTCTGCGTTGGAATTACTCACTCTTTTGAAATTCGAATTCTGAATTGATTTCAAATTTTGGATTTCAATTTTAAATTTCAAATTGTAATGGTGGAAAAGAATTGGGAAATAAAAATTTAAATAAATAATAATTTCTTTTAAAAATTGAAATAAAAAATCAATGAAAAAATAAGTTAATCATTTATGGTGGCAGATACTTTTCTTTGTATATTATGAGTAAAAAGACCTCTACTTTTCTTTTGTTGTATATCCCACTATTTTTTATATGGATATTTGTAAGCCCTATTAATGCTGCATAAAAAACAAAAACATTAAAAAAAAATTGCAAAATAACAAAATTATTTATATTCTAAATAAATTCGAAATTTGGAAATAAATTAAATGAAAAATTATGTGAACTTGATATGTGGAAAAAGTTCAGCATTTAATATTTATGCAGTGGAAAAAGATATATATAATAAATTTAAATTTAATATAAAATTATAGATTAAACAATAAAACATTTAAAATTATAAAAATACATTTATAGTCGATAAAAATTATTTAAAATATCAAATTTAAAAGAAAAAAAAAGAAATGACATAATTTATACTTTACTAAATATAAATTAAAATTTTAACAAAAATTTTAAATATACATGTATAATCAATTAAAAATTATATAAAAATCATAAATTAAAATAGAAAAAAATTATATAAAAATATGTATAATCAATATAAAAAGTTTTAAATTTTATCCTTGTTCTTTTGAAAATATGTAAAATCAATATTCTTACTACCAAAATTTTCTATTACTAACATATTACCTATCTAATCACCATTGAATCAAAGAGAGAGAATGTTAAAAAAAATTTGAAAAAAGAGAAAATATTGATCCAATGGTGATTAAATAGGTAGTGAGTTGGTAGTAAAAATTTTTGGTAGTAAGAATATCCATCCTCCTTCTTCTATAATTAAATTATTAAATCTGATTTTAATTTTTGTAAATATAAATTTGTGAAATTCCAAAGACTTACGACACTAATCCTTGCAAAAAAAAGTTATTTATATAAAATGCTGACAGTTAGAGGTGAAAAACTGGGCTCGGCCCGCTAATATAATTTTATAATTCAACTGAAATTTTATGCTTCTTCTTTTGTAATTAAATTACTAAATATGATTTTAATTTTTGTAAATACAAATTTGTAAAATTTCAAATACAAAGGACACAAATCCTTGCAAAAAATAATTATTTATTATTATTTTTTAAATTTGATTGTAATAAATGAAAGACCATCTCTGAGATAAAATATAAAAACCTAAATGTGACTATAAGAACCTTTTTTTTGTGTGGATAAATATAAAAATATAGTGTATGCTCATAGTTAGAGGTGGCAAACTGGGCTCGGTCCTTCCAACACATTTTTATAATTAATTTAAAATTTCATCCTTCTTCTTTTATAATTAAATTCCTAAATAATTTTTATAAATACAAATTTATAAAATTCGAAATGCTAATGACACAAATCTTTGCAAAAAAATAATTATTTACATAAAATACTGATAGCTAAAGGTTGCAATCTTGGTTGCTTACCAAAAAAAAAAAAAAGGTTGCAATCTGGGTTTGCCCAGAGGGCCTTTCTGCCTCGTCTGCCAACACGTTTTAATAATTAAATTAAAATTCCACTATTCTTCTTTTATAATTAAATTTCTAATTCAGATTTTAATTTTTGTAAATACAAATTTATAAAATTTCAAATACTAACGGAAATCCTTGTAAAAAAATAAGATAGCAATACAGGTTTTTATAAGTATAAAGTTTGCAGTGCGATTAACCAACTATGACAGACGATAAATATTTTGATCTTTTCCCGTGCATCGCACGGGTAATAACTAATTTAACAAATAATAAAGCCCTCGCATGCAGGAGCGAGCTTAATTATTGCATTTTGCTAATAGGGCTGGATAGCCTGCCCAAGTTTTATATACTGAACTGGCAACCCACGACCCATAAACCCATAACCGACCCATGAACCGACCCATTCTGGAAAGCATGGTGCTTTGCTGTGAAATAAGCGTGAGTCTTCTTCTTTCGAAGTTTGAAAGCTTTGAAGAGAAAGAAACTAATTGGAAGAAGCAGCAAAAATGGAGCAACTTGCAAACTCGTTTTCGGTGTTAGAACTCGACGTTGATGATAGTGACGTTCACCCTCTTTCTCTTCCTTCCTCTTCCATTGCCACCACTGCTTGTACGCTTTCATTTTTCCCTGTCCATGCCTATTCATTTTTTTATTTTATTTTTTAAATTTCCATGCATAGTTGCTGAAACTAGGGTTAGGGTTTCACAGTTATTGTTCTTATTGATCTTGGTGTTTCTGGGAGAACCCAGTGAGCTTTGTTAATTATTCAACTGACGAATTTGATGGAAATTAATTAAATTTTCTTTTTTTTTCCTGGTTTTTTTTTTTAGAATTTGAATCTTTTTTGCTTGATATCTAGTAATTTGGTTGATCAGTGAACTGCACAACTGCTGAAAATATTGCCATTGTACTTTGGGTTTATTTTGGAGGAGGTTAGATATCAGATTGCCCTTGGTGAAACAATTAACAGAGTTATGCTGTGTTATCGGCACTGACTGTTTCAGAATCACTCACGTGTTTATTGAATAATTATTGCTTATCACCATAATTAATTAGGTAATAAATGTTCAAGAACCTAAGTGAATCTGACTTGAGTTTTATTGGTTGGGAATATATCCTTTCGTGAGGGTCATGTGAAATCTTAACCTAAGAGAATCCATTCCCTTATTGGTCAATGCAAAAATTAGTTATGCCACATGTCAAACACCTATCCCTGGTTAAGTGAAACTAAGCCAGGTGTATTGATGCATTTACGATGCTTTAACAAGTATTGTTTCCTATGATCATGTATTACCCCATGCTGATATCTTCTCTAGTCAGCTTGTTGCTCTCAATTTTTACGTGTATTAACTAGTTCTAAAAGTTTCTGAATTTATGCTCATGCTTGCTAGTGGGAACGTTATGTTGATTTGTATGTGAGTGAACAGGCAGCCGCTATATACTTTTTTGGTGCAGGTAGTAGCGACAAGAGAGTTAATGGCAATGCTGACACTTTACCGGTAAAAAAAGGGAAGCAAGACCAACAAGATCTAGTAACGTCTTCACGTGAATACAAGTTACCTCTTGTCTGGATTGACTTGGAAATGACTGGTAAGCATATAGAATGGGTTTGGAGAGTGTTTTACTTGTTTCCATTTAATTTAAGTAAATATTTTTCATTTCAGCTTTTCTCTGTGTTTGTTTGGTATTGTTGACAAACGTCTAATTCTGTCTGTGACAGAGCTCTTGCATTTTAAGATATGGTACCGATTTTGGTAAATACTTCTGTGTTAGATTAGTACGGGTGTTTGCCTTCTATGATCTGAATCTGTTATTTGGGGTTCATCATCTGCTTCCACCTGATTATGTTACGCATTGAATTTCAGCTGGAAGTTTTCATTTCTCTTTTTTGTCGAATTCACATGTTAGAATGTGCTTTTTAACCCCCTCTAATTGTGCTACTTCTGTCGATTCTGCATTTTCTCCTTGTTAGCATGATTAGAAATTTAGATTTGATTACCTACTTATATGTGGTACTTAATAATGCTCACCACCTTCTATTGAACATACTCATTCAAAACCTAGGCTATATATTCTTTAGTCGCAAATTTTGTTAAATTCTGTTCTTGAACATTATATAAACTGTTTGGTGCCTGATGAGTTTTTGTTTTTAAATTATTTCAAGCATTAAACCTTCTGTGTTTGTGTAGGTTTAAATATTGAAGTGGATAGGATACTGGAGATTGCTTGTATTATTACGGATGGAAAGTTAACCAAAACAGTGGAGGTATTTAATTATTTGATTTTACAATTTACATATTTAATGTTTTTGATGTTACATGATGTTAGAATATTAGATATGATATGATTAGATATGATTGGATTCCGTCTTATCCGTAAATATTCTGACTGTATTAGGATTAGGTTTGGGCCTTTCACTTAAGCCCATTAGGGTCTCTATATATTGTAACTCTCTGACACAGATCAATACATAACATATTATTTTATATTCAAGTTGGTATCAGAGCTCTTTTGTTCTTAGACCCTCGCTTTCGCTTAGAAACCTTGTTTTTGCTTTAAAACCTAAGCTCACTGCTTAGGAGTCCTCTTTCTTTGCCGTGCGTCCTTCCGGCAAGCCATCTAGGGCTGTAAACAGCTTCTGAGTAATTTTCCAAACGCGGAAGCACCGTCGACGGCCACCGGAACCACCGTCCGCCACTAGGACCACTGTACAGGCCACCGGAGACGTTTTTTTCCGGCGACTTTTCAAACCAGACGTCACGCGATCAGGATCGTCTCCTCCCGGCGATCAAGTCTGTGGAGGTCCGGTCACCAACGCATCCCTCACGCGCCGCCCATCTCCTCTGCGCGTGGGCTTCACGCGCCACCTTCTACCGGCGTGTGTGCACTACTCCGGCGGTTTTTTCCGGCCGGTCTTGGACAGAGAAGCTCGCCTTCTCCTCCCCTTTCTGGATCTGTGATTGTTTCTCTGTGGGTCTGACTTTAGACGCGTGGTTCTCCTTGATTGGATATCGTTTGCCTTCGTTTACGGCTTTTATATTTTATCTTTAAATGGCAGCAGCATCTCCTGATCTCTCGGAGGTTAACTCTCCTTCTATTGTTGCAAATATAGTTCAGTCAGACAATGCATCATTTGGTTCAGGTTCGGACTATGCTGCACTCCAAACCCCTCTCAGGAAGGCTTCTCCTCAGTCTCAGCCTTATACTGGTAATCCCGTTGCTTGTGTTTCTCATTCTACATCACTTGGCACTTGGATATTTGACTCCGGTGCTACCGATCATCTCTGTGGTAATAAGGAACTCTTTACATCTCTTACTTATTCTGATCATTTACCGTCTTTTACCCTTGCGGATGGAACCAAAGCCCCAGTTCGTGGGATTGGACAAGCTCGTCCGACCTCTACCTTGGCCCTGACATCTGTCTATTACATTCCTGGCATCCCTTATAACTTAATTTCTATTAGTAAGTTGATCCACTCCCTCACTTGCACCATTACTTTCTCTAACCATTCTGTTTCTGTGCAGGATCCGGGTACGAGGAAAATGATTGGAGTGGGTCGTGAGTCACGGGAGCTTTATTATCTGGATGTGCCTCGTCCTTCAGTAGCATACTCTCTCACAGAATCTCCACAACTTATCCACAGTCGCCTTGGTCATCCAAGTCTTTCAAAGTTGCAGAAAATGGTTCCTCTTTTGTCTGGTCTTCAGTCTTTAGATTGTGTGTCATGTCAACAAGGGAAGCATACACGCTCCTCTTTTGCCAGTCGAGTCAATAAACGAGCTGATGCCCCTTTCTCTCTCTTTCATTCAGATATCTGGGGTCCAAATCGTACCTTGTCTGTCTTAGGTTTTCGGTATTTCGTTACCTTTATTGATGATTTTTCCCGTTGCACTTGGACCTATTTAATGAAAAATCGTTCTGAGTTATTTTCCATTTATAAAAAGTTTTCTACTGAGATCCATACTCAATTTGGTGTTTCTATTCGTATTCTACGTAGTGATAATGCTAAGGAATATGTTTCTATTGATTTTTCTAATTTCTTGGCCACACAAGGTACTTTACATCAAACTACTTGTCCTCACACTCCACAACAAAATGGGGTGGCTGAACGTAAAAACAGACATCTCATTGAAACTACCCGTACCCTTCTTATTCATATTCTGGTTCCCCTTCACTTCTGGGCAGATGCTGTACTCATCTCTTGTTTTCTCATCAATCGCATGCCTTCATCTGTGCTCCACAATGACATTCCTCATAATCTATTGCTTCCAGATGTTCCTCTTTATCCTCTAACTCCACATGTCTTTGGTTGTACTTGTTTTGTTCATGATCTCACTCCTGGTAAGGATAAGTTAACATCCAAAGCCTTTCAGTGTATCTTTCTTGGTTATTCTCGTCTTCAAAAGGGTTATCGTTGTTATTCTCCCGACCTTAAGCGTTACTTAGTTTCCGCTGATGTCACTTTTCTTGATCAACAACCTTTTAATTCTATCCCATCTCAGATGTCACAGGTTGATCATGTACTTCCTGTCCCTTTTCTTGACTTGTCTTTACCAGCTGCAGGTGCTTCTATTCCAGATGAGCAACCTATTGCTTCTATACCTGAGGACCGTCCACTTCTCACCTATCAGCGTCGCAAAACTGTGCCTCCTGTCGACTCGACTCTTGCTGACTCATCGCCCACTGCTGTTGCTTCTTCCCCTCCGGATCCTTCAGCAGAGATTCTTCCCATTGCTCAAAGAAAAGGTACACGTACTACTCGTAACCCTTATCCTCTTTATACCTTTTTGAGTTATGACCGTCTTTCTTCACCTCATTTCACCTTTGTTTCTAGTCTTTCTTCTATTTCTATTCCTAAGACCACAGGTGAAGCACTTTCCCATCTAGGGTGGCGCCAAGCGATGCTTGATGAGATGACCTCACTTCATTCCAATGGCACTTGGGACCTTGTTTCTGCTCCTCCAGAGAAGTTTATAGTTGGTTGTCGCTGGGTGTTTACTGTGAAAGTTGGACCTGATGGCCATGTTGATCGTCTCAAGGCACGCCTAGTTGCCAAGGGTTTTACTCAAATCTTTGGCCTTGATTATAGCGATACATTTTCTCCGGTCGCTAAGATGGCGTCAGTCCGCCTCTTTCTTGCCCTTGCTGCTGTTCGTCACTGGCCACTCCTTCAACTTGACATCAAAAATGTCTTTCTTCATGGTGATTTACAAGAAGAAGTTTACATGGAGCAACCACCTGGTTTTGTTGCTCAGGGGGAGTCTGGGAAGGTATGTCGTCTTCGAAAATCCTTATATGGTCTTAAGCAGTCTCCTCGAGCATGGTTCAGTCGCTTTAGTTCTGCTGTACAGGCGTTTGGCCTAATTCGCAGTAAAGTTGACCATTCTGTGTTCTATAGGATTACATCTCCTAACAAGTGCATCTATTTGTTAGTCTATGTTGATGACATCACCATCACCGGAAGTGATCAAGACGGAATCCGTCAGTTAAAACAACATTTATTCAGTGCATTTCAAACAAAGGACCTTGGGAATCTGCGTTACTTCTTGGGAATTGAGGTGGCGCAATCTAGACAGGGCATTTCTATCTGTCAAAGGAAGTATGCCTTGGATATCCTAGAAGAGACTGGTATGTTGGGGTGTAAACCAGTTGATACACCCATGGATCCTAATGTTAAGTTATTGCCCAGACAAGGGGAGCCGTTATCTGATCCTGAACGTTATCGAAGGCTGATTGGGAAGCTCAATTATCTTACTGTGACTAGGCCAGATATTTCTTTCGCTGTCAGTACAGCTAGTCAGTTCCTTGATTCCCCTTGTGATTCACATTGGGATGCTGCTGAGAGGATCCTCCGATACATCAAAGGAGCACCAGGAAAAGGTTTGTTGTATTCGGATCAGGGAAATACAGAAATTTGTGGTTACTCAGATGCCGATTGGGCAGGATCACCCTCGAACAGACGCTCTACTTCTGGTTATTGCGTCTTCTTCAGAGGAAACTTAATCTCATGGAAAAGCAAGAAACAACCTGTTGTTTCCCGATCTAGTGCAGAAGCTGAGTATCGTGCAATGACAAATACTACCTGTGAGTTGATCTGGTTAAAGCAGTTGATTCAGGAGCTTCATCTTTGTGAACAAAAACAACCCATGACACTCATCTGTGATAATCAAGCTGCGCTACATATATCCTCTAATTCTGTTTTTCATGAGAGGACCAAACATATAGAGATTGATTGTCACTTCATTCGGGAAAAGATTCAGTCAGGAGAAATCAAGACAGCTTTTGTCAACTCGTCTAATCAACTAGCAAATGTTTTCACTAAAGCTCTTAGAGGTCCTCGGGTTGAATACATTTGTAACAAGCTTGGTGCTCATAATATATACGCACCAGCTTGAGGGGGAGTGTTAGAATATTAGATATGATATGATTAGATATGATTGGATTCCGTCTTATCCGTAAATATTCTGACTGTATTCTGACTGTATTAGGATTAGGTTTGGGCCTTTCACTTAAGCCCATTAGGGTCTCTATATATTGTAACTCTCTGACACAGATCAATACACAACATATTATTTTATATTCAAGTCATGATTTTTTTCTTGCATCACTACATTTTCAATGAGATTCTACACTTTCCTGTGTCTAGCTAGTAACATTCTTCTTTTTTCTCTGTTTTTTTTTTCCGGGAAAAAACTTGCTTATTCCATAACCCACCTTGCTTGACATTTAGATACTTGCAAGTTGGAAGCTATTTTAATAGTTTTTTTGCTCCAACTAGTTTGGGATAAATGTGTTGGGTGTAGGCAGCCTATTCTTCTTTTTGCTGAATGCTAACAACCTATTAGAGAAAAAAGTATAGTAAGAAGCAACAGGAGAAGAAAGATAGAAACAAAAAAGAGCAATTAAGATTGCTATATATATAATTTTGCTTCGACGTTCTTGTTCTTGTCCTTTCCTCATCCTTGCTGCTTTGTGTCTCTTGTGCTTTTATCAGCGCGTCGCTCCCTGTAACAATGAATTGAGCTTGGTTTTGTCTGTCCTTCAATTTGTCTTGCTTCATTTCTTTGCCTTTTAGTGGCGAACCGGAGCAGTGGTAAAGCTGTTCTTTCATGACCAAAGGTCATGGGTTCGAATTCAGGAAACAACCTCTTTGCAATTATGCAAGGGTAAGGCTGCGTACAAGGATTACCTCCACCCCACACTCGCTAGTCGGGTTTAACGGGGAGTGGTTTTTTTTTAGTTGATGTTGATTTATGATTGATTTTTCTTTTTGACATATCATACTAAGTGCAAATAGGGTTTATAGCATTAAACGATCCTTCAGTATGTCTTACTACCAATAATTTTCCTATAAATTAAAAGACTGCGTATAGCTTTTCAGAGTGCACAACTGTTGATAAATTGTAGCATCATTCAATAGATGCTCTTACTTCTAGATTAAAAAGTTTATTATCATTGAAAGCTATTACTTAATAGAAAATTAATTCTGCCCCAAAATTCTAATGAGGCCCTAAATTGTAGCTTCCCTATGTTCTCTTTGTGTGTATGTGTGTGTGTGCGTGTTTTCTTTGGCATGTGCCCTTTTTCTCTCCTATTTTTAATATGTACGTCAACGTTCATTGGGTGCCTTGATGACTTCTTGTAGCGAAATCGGCAAGTATACCGTTCGTTTCAAGTAATAAAGTGATAAGTAGAGTATCGTTCCCACGAGGATTAATGCACCAAGTACTAGTTTAACTATTCCCCTTAAGTTGGAAAATAAAATTGATTTTGGTTGTGAAAGTAATTGATGGTTGGAATTTTAAAACATAAATTTAAAAACAATAATATTTAAAAAGCATGCAAGAAAATCAAGAATGTCAAGAATATCAAGAAAATATGAAATTGATTGGAAATTGTAAAAAGACGGTAGCCAGGATGCACTCCACCTTCGATCCTCCCTTATATTCCTATATTGTATTTTATAATTAATTAATTCGTTTGTTCAGACAATTCATTATTTCCCTATAAAATAGTTGAACCCTAATGTCTTAGTGATTTCAACCCTTTAACCCAATCAGAATTTTAATGTCTTAGTAATTCCTCTTGAATTAAGCATTAAGCAAATAAATTATGAGTCTGCAATCTATGTAAGCCTATGTCTAGATCATACACAAATTGTTATTCTACCCTTGTCCAGATTAAAACCCCAATATGTCTATTGTGAATTCTAACCCTCAAAGCCCTATAATTTAGAGTGATCAGTTCTAAACAGGATATGAAAAATTAAACCAGGTAGAATAAAACAAACTAACTAATTAAATTATAAAAACAATATAGGAAATATAAAGGATTCACATTAGGTCCGTGATGCCAACTACATAAAGAAATTAGTCAGACATGTTCATGTCTGACTTAAACAAATAAAAAGAAAAATTGTTCATAAACTATAAAGAAGAAAAGAAGAAGAAGAATAAAAACTCAATGTCTTCAGCCTTCAACTTCAGTGGAATCCTGATCTCCAGCGCGAGTCTCCAAGAATTCTCTCAATTCTCTGATACTCGCAATTTCTCTCCAGCCAAAGATTCTTTGCTACGAGGTCTGGGTCTCTATTTATAGAGGTTATGCCTTGCTTAGAAATCTTGATCAAATCTTCAATAGAATCTTCACTAGAATCTCTAATCATATCTTTGAATCAATCCTTCAAATGTTCTAATCATATCTTTGACCAAATCCTTCAAATCTTCCTCTTTTTAATTTAATGGAAAACTTTCCTTAAAAATATTCAAACGAAGATTTGATAAGATCTTCAATGATTCAGAAATCCAAAGCAACTCTACTTGATATCTTCAATTTATCTCTTTATTGAGCTGAAATTACTGCAAAATATCAGAAATCTTATGAGAATATTATTGAAAATAAAATAACAATTTAATTATAATTCTCATACTTTTTAATTACTTTTACATCAATTTCACACTCATATTGACCCTTAATACATAGTAAATTGGAGACTCATCACTTCTCATTTTCATTTTGTTATGTAAAGCATACAATATTTGTATTTTTTAATACAAATTTGTAATAAGTATGAATTTGATTAGGTTTTAACTTTGACCATAGCCTCCACCCTTCTTGGAAGGAGGAGAGGGAGTGCTATTAGATCTAATTTTTGTAAACATTCCCCTTGACACTATCTCCATCATGGGAATGATTAAAACTCCACCCGCCTGCCCCTCTTCTTTTTTACTCTTTTTTGGAAAAAGACGATCATATTTGATCAAATATTGTGTATCTGTTATGTATAACTTAATCCAGTACAGATGATGACATTAATGTGTATGAAAGAAACTATCTGCTATTTTAGGGTCCTGATTTGGTCATCCATCAAACTAAGGAGTGCCTTGACAGGATGGGGGAATGGTGTCAAAGTCATCATGCAGCTAGTGGTAAGCGGTACATGCTATATTTTGATACTTTATTTTTTTATAGAAAAAATACTTTATTAGAGAGAAAAGACACAAAATATGGCTATGTGGAGTATAAGATATCCTTAAAAACAGATAAAAAAATTAATAATTTAGGGAACAGGAAGAAATTTGATACTGTATTAAGCAGTACATGTTATATTTTGATACTTTATTTTTCCTTAACATTATTTTATTCCTTTTTATTGAATTTTGGTATTGACTAATGATATTCAATGAACTCAGGGTTAACAAAAAAGGTGCTTCAAAGTACAATTACTGAAAGAGAAGCTGAAAAGCAGGTTTGTAGTAACTACACTATGTGTTGAGCTCTCTTTTCATGGGAAAGCATTTTCTATCATGTTAAATGGGAACTGTATTTTCATATATATTCAATGAACATGAAAAAGTTGTTATTGTTTTCATATTATAAGACAGATGAAATAATGAAACTCATCTATCAGGGATTGTTTAATCCTAGTATATGAAGGAAATTGAATTGTCATTATCCTTAAGAAAGTTCATTAAAAAATACGGGAGGGGCACAGTCTATGTACAAAGGATGTATAGAATGAGTTAAGAGTCTAAATATATTTAAAAATTTTAAATAGCATGTTATTAAAACATTATAGGAAAATTTGTGGCAGCTAAGAAATTATTATTATTATTTTTTAAACCACAGAATCTGTTTTTCTTTCTCCCAGGATTCACAATGCTGGCATGAATATTTGAAATACATGTATTTTTACTTTTATTTAACCAGTTTGTGATCTGGACATCACGTAATTTATATGATTTATATAAACAGGTCTAAGGCTACATTTTAATCAGCAGAATGCTGTTGTAGCACAAATGGATTTCTAGTGTTGTGCCATCCCATGTTGTGATTGGTCCCAGAAATTTGATCTTATAAAGACAGACTCGAGCTTCACCCACCAAGGAGCTAATTACATTTACAATCCATATTATGGGCTGCAATTTCCAAATTTCTTGCTAAAATTAGCAACAAGAGATAATAGTTTCTCTGCAGAATGTGGCAGACCCTGCACTGCCAATAAGTTGGTTATAGATGAAAATCAAACAACTGGCATTTAGCATCCTACTCAATTATCAAGTCAATGATATCAATTGCAGTCATATGGGATTATGGCTTGGATTTGATGCCTTTCGTTTTATCCATGTCAGACATGACTTGTTGCATTGAAAGTGTCTGTAAACTTATATACCTTTTCCTGTATCTTGCCACTTTATCTGTGAGGTATTGAATTGAAGTTTCTAGTTTGTGGTCTTTGCTTGAATGATATGGAATCTCTTGCCCTCTCTATGTTTTATTTATTTGTTTGTCCTTTTTAATGTTAATCTATAATGTCTTGGAAAATTGCAGGTTATTGAATTTGTTAAGAGACATGTTAGTTCATACACACCTCTCTTGGCAGGAAATTCGGTATATGTGGATTTTCAATATCTGAAGGTATTGGTTCTTCCTTAGTAAGTGTTGTTAGTTTATAATTTTCACAATGTTATTTGTCTTTATAGTATCAGATATATTGTTGAAATCTTGATTCTTTTGTTGGTAATCTCTTCTGTGAATTCTCGATCATATCATCAAATTTAAATTTTTTAAATCACATCATATTTGCAGCATCTTATTAATCTGAATGACTAACAAGGATTTGTTAGAATTATATTTTTAAGGCTTCTTTAGATACATTACTGCATAAGTGGGTATAGCTTATGTTTCATGCTTGACGTGTCATGGTGATTTTGTTTTTCAACTGAATTCATCATAACATTTATGAAGTTGGACATCTCTGTAAAAGATCAGGTCAAGACACTGCACGAAAACTTCTTTGTCATTTGACTAGAGAATCTATGTATAAAATTGAAAACCAGTCTGCATATCCTGATCAACCCTTATTGAAAGTATATATTGCTATTCTTATTTACAATTTCTATATATCCTTTTATCCTATGTTGAAATGTTTCATTACCTGTCTTTTTTTTTTGGTAAACATTCATTACCTGTCTTAACTAGATCCATTTTTTGCAGAAATACATGCCAGAATTGGCTGCTCTTTTCTCTCATGTGCTTGTTGATGTTAGTAGTGTTAAAGCTCTTTGCATTCGCTGGTATCCTAAGGGTGAGAAATCATACAATTACTGTATAATGAAATTTTCTTTGGTATTAACACATTAAATCAAACTGAAGTTTAATATTTGACATGAACTTCCAATTCCTTACCCCTTCATCTCTGCCCTACTCCCAAAAAAAAATAAAAATAAAAATAAAATAACAAAGAATTGTTACGTGTCATTTGGGTTCATTAGCCACCAACCCTAATTAATTTAAGATAAATATGTTGTAGATGTTAAAAGAATTGTTACATGCTTGAGATTGTTGGACAGTTCCTGTGCCTATATCTGCATTATTTACTGGATTTGTTAATTAATAATGATTCTTCTGGTTTTTAAAGTACTGTTCATGCAATTTGAGTTAGCTTCATTTGACTGAACTGTTAAGTAATGTGATAAAATACTTCATTTCTATTAAGAGGTTCTCGATCTTGAGGCATTATGATTTATGAATTAATAGGTCCATTTAAACAAAAATATAAAAGGAATATCCTTTTGTCGGTTATTGATTTGTGTCAAAATTCACTTCAGATATGCTTGCTTGTCGCTTTATTATTTAAAGAGTTATCATTTGTGCAGATCAAAAGAAAGCGCCTTCAAAAGAAAACAGACACAGAGCCTTGGATGATATTAGAGAAAGCATTGAAGAACTTAGATACTACAAAGCAAATATTTTCAAGTCGAAGTCAAGGAAGTGATAGACAAGGCAGCGTATGAATCTTGATGGAGACATTTCCAAGTCAAGTGTTAAGCCTCATTGCTATTGAAGTTTTGCCACCGACTCAAATGGCTCTTGATTTTGGATAAAAATATAAACCTCAATGGTAGTTGTAAAATCTCATTTGACATGCAAGTTTACTTAAGTTTCAACTCCTTTAATTTCACTTTGTGTAAATTTGTTCGAAGGAGAAAAGGAAATGCATGGATACCAATCAAATCCAAATAACCATCCATATTAACTTGAAGGTGAACCAACACAGCAATTATACTGTTTGCAATCACAACGGCTATTTCCATTTTGCACTTGATTTTTGAACCAAAGGAAGGAAAAAAAAACAAAACACCACAATATAAAGTTCTACAATATAGTATATCCACAACTTCCCAATATCATACTGCTCTCAGTGCTCTGTATCAATGGAATTGATAACGCTCATTATTTTCTAGATAGGATAAAACCGAAAACCTAACCAATGAAACAGAAACACTTTGAATGCTATAAACATGTAGCCAGTAACATCATTCTTTTCAAAAGGCCGGGAGTGACAAGTGACAACCATTAAGAACGAGTCGATGCTACTACACAGATGGAACAGATAACTTCAGCAGGAAAAAAACAAAGCCATCCTCATAGCAATCAGTTCCCCTAGTCGATAACACGTCTGCATTCATTAAGACCAGAAAAGAGTTTTTATCACAACAGAATACAAGAAGAGCTGCCTTAGAAACAACTAAAACGGTTACAACTCACAAATACTATTTTCCCCTTCAATGTTGTGGTTGATGAAAAACATTGTAAATAATATTATTACCTGTTGCATCCTACTTCACTTTGAATTTGACCTCACAATAACCTGCTGAGATTCTTGATAAGTAATTTCAAATTTTTCCTTGTAATCTCGTCGCCAGTGAAACCCAGAATATCAGAGCTAATATTCTGTAGTAATACAATCAAAAAGAAAATAATAACATGGGAGAAAGTTATTCACAATATTTAGATTTAGTCATTTCCAAAATTAGGGCCAAACCTCAATGTTCTTCAGGGTAAAAATAAGAGTGTATATGGACTTCTGGATCAGTTCAGTGTTCTCAGAGGTCATAATGGATGAATGTACCCTTCTGCATAAACAAAATGTGATTTCTCTTAGTTGTCATACTTTAAGACAGTTAAATTAGTCATCATACTTTGAGAATGTTCTGAGTGAATAAGAGTACAAGCATTTTTTTGAATCAGCTCAAGCCTCTCAAGTCATAGTGCGTGAAAGCACCCTTCTGGATAAACATCATAGGTGAATGCTTTTCTTATTTATTTGATAGAATAACAAGAGGACTTTACGAGCAATTTCAAATTTCAAAGTCTTCAACTGAACCATAGGATCCGAGATACAAATTCCAACCTCATATTTTTGCCATTATACCTGTCAGGTCTCCTCACGCAGGATTTTTCTGAAGGTTAAGATGTTATTAAGTTAGTTGGCTTCCCCTACACTAATGACAATGTGCTACATGGCTACGTGTATGCTATTATGCATGCAAGCCAAATTAGTGATAGACAAGAGCCATAGAAGGTTTAGACAATTAACCTCAAATCATCAGAAGCTTGGGTTAGGCTTCGGGTCAAATTCTCAACTTCCTTCAACAGGCAACTATCACGGACTTCAGCCAACAAAGGTTGAACATCTTCAGCCATGGCTTTCATCTGAGGCATCACTACATCAAAGCGAAAATACGGGCATGAGAATGCATGATAGAATAATTGATTTATCACAAATAAAAATTAAAAAACTTACTACAGAGAAATGACACATAAATACCATAAAAGGTGCAGATGGATATTCAGACATCATTAATATTTTTAATATTTTATTTTATCTCTTGTAGTTTCTTCTTTTTTAAGTTACTGTAGACAGCTGGTATTAAATCTATTCTAAGGTTTAGATTTGCTTTTAATTAAGGTTTCTAAGTTACATAAAGGGGTTTAAATGGTTGTAACAGGAATTCAGATTTTGTTTAATAGAAGTTTTACTGCTATTATAATTCCAATTTCATGTCATTTAATACATTCATTTCAATTTCAATATAATAAATAAAACTGAATTCCCACACCAACTCTTCAAAACAAAGAATTCTTATTTCTAGGGCATTCATGAACACAATCTTGTATTAGTTTAACATAATATACCAAACTCAAAGCGAGGTTAAGAGAGTGAGACCAAGGCATCAATAATAGAAGTAGGGGCAAGAGAGGCAAATGGAAGAAACTAAACTTAATTCATAATTATGCATTTATCCATTTTCTATTGGCAAGAGAATTGCCTGATTCAACAGTTTGGTCCAGAGAATTGATTTACATCAGTGAAGCATACTAGTATAATAAAATTACATCACACCTGTGTAAGAAGTGGTTTTGCTTCTTCAATAACAGAAAAAACTCGTTCAGCCAATGAATAGCTGTTGATGATACCAATTTCCTCCACATCTCGCCCGAGACGGGTGAAAATCCCAACCAATGCATCCAAACTTACTCCTTGGTAACCCTTGATCTTTTCTCGATCACACACAATGAGACCTTCTTTAGTACAGTCTTTGTCAAGAGGGCCAACAGAAGGTGTTGGAATTGGATCACGAGGACTGATGTCAATTATAGTTTCCATAAGAAGACCTGACTGGTTAACCTCAACCAAAGAATTCCGCGGTATAATTGTTTTATCATCATCAACCTGCAAATTGAAAACTAAGAGTTTAATATAATGCAAAAACCAAATCGATGAATCTGAAACCAAGGCAAGAATTTAATACTGGGATATTAAAGTAACCAGATTATGGTATCGAAAGACACCTCAACAACTGCCTCAATACTTTTCAAGGAAGGATTCACGCGAATGACATTGCCAACAGTGACTCCTCTGATTCTCACAGGTGTTCCAGTGCTTATACCACAAGCCTGAGCAAACTCAAACATTGCTGTGTACTTCCGGAATTTGGATCTTATTTGGAAATCCCTCAACCAAGCCAAAGTAAGAAAAAGTAGGACTGTACCAGATACTAAAAACAGTCCAACCCCACCTTCCCAGATGCTCCTACTACCAAACCCGAAATCACTTAATGGACGCAGTGTTTGCCTCCAAACAGTACGAGGAATGTCCAATACAACTGCAAGTGGATTCTTTGCTTCTGAAGTAGATGATTGTTGGCCATGACCTGCATCAGCAGCAGATGTAGCTCTTATCCTGTTGATTTGTGTCTGGCGTTTAAATGGAAGAGGCATGCAACTTAAAGAATTTCCTTGTAGGGTAATCAGAGATGAAGAAAAAGAAGTTGGCAATGATGGGACATGGAGTGCAGGGTTTCCAACCATCTTCAAATCAACCTCCTAGCCCTTAAGTACAATGGAACTAGAAATCAAAACCATATAAATCTTATCAGCTATGGATCCATACTTAATTGATAAAAAGGGATTACAAAGAACACAAAAAAAAACCAAAAAAAAACCACAATAGCATAAATCAATTCCAAAGGTTCTAATCACATAAGAAAAATAAAATAAAAATGAAACTGTTAAGAAATGAGTGCATTGAGTGAGGTATGCAAAAAGAATCCAATAAACCAAGTCCCAAAAAATAGTTACATAATTTCAGGCTTCCGATTTAATAAAATAAAATGAAAAACCCTTACACTTCATCTTTCCATAGCGTGAATATTATAGCAGAAATGGAAAAAGTAAGGATTTGAGAACAGCACAATATTGGGTTTGGGTAGGTAGGTAGGACCCTAATCCCAGATAAAACAAAACATAAACATGTAAAGTTAATTGTAGGATGAAATTTTTTTCAGAGAAATCTGAAAAACCCAATAAAAATTTGATGATGGGTAATGTTGGGTAGTGAAGACTGAAGAGAATGGTGGCATTGTTGGCGTCAACATGAAACAAATAGAAGAGAAGAGACAACGTAAAGAGAGAGCAACAGACATACTAACAAGTAGTGTGAATGGAAGCAGCAGAAACCTATGCAGCTGTAGCAGCATCAGACATGGACATCATCGAAGAAATGGGACCAGATAAAAACAAAACCATGTGTGAAGTGTGAACCTTTTCTTTTTTTCACATTCAATAAATTCTTATTTGGTAAAATTTGGTTAAATGCGTAAAAGTATTATTATTTTTTAACAAATATTTATCTACTCAAAATTGCATTACTCATTGTTTAAAAAATTAATTTACCTATCATTATTTTAAATAATTACTTAGGGTAAATGTAGTGATTTTTTTTTTTTTTTTTGGTAAGCAATGTAGTGATTAATTACTAATATTGTAGGTGTAGTTCAATAGAATATACTTAGGTTGTATAAAATAATTCTACACACTAATTTCCCCAATATTTGGCCCGCCATTAACATTCATCACGTGTTTAGCATGCCTGTGTAAGCATTTCGTGATGCCTACCAAACAAGTTAATAAAAGAGTTTGACTAGAATGTAATGTTATTTGCACAAATATTCATTAATAATAAATGAAAGAAAAATACATGAATTTTAAATGAATAATTGTGATAAAAAATATAATTACATAACCATTTTTTCACATGAGAGGATCCAAATCCATTCAAATAAGATCATTTTCATATCTTTCAATCTACATTTTTTTTTTTTCCAATTTATAGTCTCAAAACAAAAAATAAAGAATTTGTTTGATTATGTTATGATTTTTTTTGTTCTTAAAATTACTTTTTAAAATAGTTAATAAAATAGATAATTTCTATTTTTTTATTTTGAAAGTTAAAAATCAAAATACAAAATAAAAATAGCTCAAGTGTTTTTTTTTAAATTTGATTCTAAAAACAAAAAAAGAGTTATAATTATTTTTCAAAAATTTACTTATCAAACCTGCTTTTTTATTTTTTATTATTCTAAAAATTAAAATATTATTTTTCGAAATAGATTTTAAACAGGTCCTATATTGCAGAATTGTTCATGTACATTTTTTTGTATACTATGTTGAAAATCGGGCTGGACTCTCGGGTCGATCCGGAACTCGGTGAACTGGTTATCTGATCGATTCGATTATCACATTGGATTGGCCAAGTACCAGATTTGGTGAAAATCGGTGACCCAGTTTATTTAAAAAAAAATCCAATTTTTTTTTCATAATTGATATATTTGACTGATATGTTGTTTATTGACTTACATAAATTATACACCTACAATACTAATATTATGTCAGTTATGCATAATGCAGGGAATTTTGATTTGATTTATAGTTAGAAATATCATTTACTAAACCTAAAATACCAGTATCACAAGTATTATATGTTTGTTTGATTCTTTATTGAATAATAATATATATTTTTTATTTTTTATATTAAAGTATTTAAAATTTATATTATTATTTTCAGCTATCTGAGTATGTTTATAATTTTTTTAATATAATTATATATTTATATATAATCACTGGGTCATGCAGTTGAATCAGTGACCCACTGGTTGAATCAGTGATCAGTTATCTCGATCGAGTCAATGACCGAGCCAGTTTTAATAACATTGCTCTAATGAAGAAATGAGAGATTTATGTTATCAAAAAAAAAAAAAAAAAAAGAGAGATTTTCAGTCAAAATATAAAAATAAAAAAGATTTGAATCTAATGTAATTAATCCAAAACAAGTAAATACTTTTTGAGTGATCTAAATTGATAATGTCATCACGATGATTGCAACTCGACTCGGACAAGTTACCCTAATCCAAAATATCGGTATATGATTTATGGTACAAAACCTAGCCTGGCCCAAAAACTGATCCTAGCCCGAGGAGTTTGAGCCATACGGGCCCAAAAACTGACTACATTAACTCCGGCCTAACGGATCCAAACACTGACTTTGAATATTTTTTAGAAATCTGAATAACTATGTTTAAAAATCCGGCATGAGTCATCGCCAAACAGTAAATCAACCGTTGGGGAATGATCCTATTACAGGAATAGCTTCGGGTACACCTGTTACAATTTTTACTGCCCAATAACCAATCAATGATTTTGAGTTTGAATCCTGAATATACAACTATATTAAAATTTGAATCCTGAGTAAATGAATATACAACTGTATTAAAACTTGATAGAAAGAATTTTATCACCTTTGAAATTTTATTCGGCTCAAATCGAAATTAGTCAACATCCGAATATCAGATGGTTTATACTGAAACAAATGTGGGATCAGCCATTTACATTAAAATCCAACTATATTTCTCTCTAAAAAATTATTCGATTCAATCATGTTTTAATTATAAATTTAACTAGTTATATCAATAGAACCATAACAAAATGTTTCACAAGTTTAATATCGTATTTGTATTTTTAAAACATCTCTGGTTTTTTGTTTTTTAATCTTACTTTCTCCACAAATTCATCAATTACCCAACATTTATGGAAAACAAAGTAATATACGTCTTCTATTCATAAAGAAAAGACTTTCATCTTCATTTCTCCTGGCCTCCATCCCTCAATTATATATATATATATATATATATATATATATATTCCATTTTCAAGATGCTGTAACGAGCTTACCGTATTGCTGGATAGAAATTAAAAAGTAGCAGAGAATGGAAAAGAGATAATTAGGCACAGGTAGATAGATTTATATAATCTACAAATTTTCTTATACTTTTTTGTTTGATGAACATAACTGGAAGTGTTTATGGGTAAATTCTTACATAAACTGTGCATGCTTTCCAAAAATAATAGCATGGAACACAATATGAGATGTCCAAAACAAACCTAGAAGAAGGAAATAACGAATGAAGAAATTGGAAAATAGTAGAAGGTAGGACATCAGACATCAAGAATATTACATTTGATAATAATGATGTCAACATCAATTTTTTCCTTGCATTTGCATATCATCTTCAGTTTTCCAAACAACATCCTCCAGGCATTTTGAAAGGCTTTTGTAGAACTGCACAGGGTCAAAGAGACAATTTCAATTAAATTCCAAAGCAAAAACAAGTGTTAAGTGTGCAAACTCCATTATTCTTTCTGATATATTATTATACATTGAGCTTGCACCTATTATTTAAGGGTTTTATAAGAGTTATGTTGTAGGAAAGATGATTGTGTTATGTTATAGAAATTCGTTTTGCGTGCCATAGTTTTTTTTTTTTCAAAACATACGGGTCCCACAAAATATTGTGTGTGTAAAAAACTTTATGTGGTCATGTTAAATGATGGATGCAAATCCCATTATTTAATCAGCAATCTAAGGATGACATCATTAGGTTGTAAATTGGTCAAATGGGCTTATAAGGGGCCTACGTCACGCCTGGAATGGCCTAACATATGCAGTAAAATAAAACAAGCTCAAACCTTAAAAAAAAAAAAAAAACCATTTAGAAAATAAGTCATAAGCATACTTTTGTAAGGCCTAGCCTATGTCTATAAGTTGGCCTACAATGTATTATTTATTTTAATTAAAATAAATTAAAATAAAATAAATAGTGTTAACAGACCTATAATTCAGCTTATACCAAGCTACAAGGCCAGACTCAAAATATTTTACATAAGTTTGACTTATTTAGACCAAAGCCTAACCTAACCAAGTCCATTTACTCTCCTAGACATCATGAATGGAAATGGAATACAAAAGGTTTATATATATATATATATATATATATATAGGGACACGATACCAGTATCTAAGTAAAATGTTTAACACCAAATCTTAACCGTAGAGTTCTGTAAATCTAACGTTTATAATTTATTGAGTCACATTTATTAATTAATAATTATTTCCCAACAAATTATAATCGTCAAATTGACGGAAATCACCATTTAAGATTTGGTGTCAAAAGGATATATATATATATATATATATAGAACAAGGTTATACTTACAACCTTTTTTTTTTTACAACCTCTTACAACAATATCTTAACAACGTTGATTTCCGCCAATCAATGGTTATGATTTTCACAAATTAAATTCATTAATTAATTATTAATTCACAATAAATGATAACCGTTGATTGGCGGAAATCAACGGTGTTAAGATAGAGTTGTAAGAGGTTGTAAAAAAAAAGGTTGTAAGTATAACCTTCCTCATATATATATATCATTAAAATTGACAATAGAACAATTTTATTTTATTTTTTTTGTATACCGACCCTAATTATCTCTTTGAAATGAGTCGGCCCCATCAGGTATCCCACAAGCTTCAACCCTTTGAGCCGGTTATGGAACTAATCCCGAGTCGAGACTTAGTCACAGTTAAACTCCTCGCCCTCCCCAAAGATGTATTTGGTGGGAATTCTACTCATGTTCTCTCCAACTCTACTCATTCTGTATTGCCAATTGAGCTACACTCATTGGGTATAACAATTATTTTTGAAGTATAGCAATCAGAGACTCTGTAAATCAACTAAGAAACGAAGGGGACAGAAGGATACCTTATGGAACTCCAATGTGTCGCCTTTTGCTTTCCGTACCTCAACCATGTGAATAGAAGGTGCCACTTGAAATATCTGTTTACAAGGATTACTTTCAATAAAATAATGAAACAAAGTGTCCCATGTAAAGCGAGTGAATTCAACCTAAAGCTTAAACTAATAAGTGATGCCCATATTAATAATTTTATATTAATATCTCTACCATCCCACATCATCAAATAACAGAAATGAAGAATATATATACCTCTGTGGCAACATTAAGGTTTCCCTTCCTTCCAGCTTTTACATTTGCAAGCCTCATCTGCAGGTCATGGTTTACTTATTTCACAATATACCATTAATTATAGAGCTACCTCTTTAAGTAGAAGCTCATAACAAGTTGCATAAATATTGCTTACCTTGTAATTTTTCTTCTGCACATCAAAGCCAAGAGGTTTTGCAGCTTCTTCAATCTTGTTGATTATCTCATCAGCAGGGGATTTTGATGTAAATCTTGTTTCCCTTTTAAATCCCTGCAATGAATGACATAAGAATAAAGTAAATACAGTAACTGATATGAACTTAAGGAGATTGAGATGCAAAGATGGGGGATTAGAGAGATAGAAAGAGGAGAAAGAAAGAGAAAGAAGTTTCTACTATTGAATCTCTTCGAGCTAGAGAGGTTTCCTCCAAGGTTTTCCCCAACTAACTCTCCTAAATGTCATCCTAAATGTCTAACTGGTTTTTTATCTAACAAAAAAAGAAAAAAGAAAAAACTAGTTTGTGTGTTAAAATTTACTTAACTCACATCACTTGTTTTCCCTGTATTTGAATTATACAGATTCATCACAATAGTAAAATAATTTAGATAGCATCTTATCAAGTGAATTTGTGTACCTGCTCTATGTCAAACAAGTTTTCAAGGTTCAGCCCTTTGGACATGGAAATTAACTCAAATGCATTCATGGCTGTTGGGTGCTCTTCCTTCTTCTCTGTTACATGGTGCTCCTGAATACAATGGCAAAATCCTTTATGAGACAAAATATTCCAGAACTTGCAAAAAATCAATACCAAAATCTTAGCTAATAATCTTCAACATACTTCAGAATCCTTGAAGACAGCTTCTACATCATCAAGGTTGATTTCCCCGTTCTCCTCAAAAACTGGAGGCTTATAATCTTTCTTAAACCATTCATCATCCAAAATCTCAGGTATAGTGACACGCTGCCATACAATTAGGGTAAATCAGATACGCAGACTAAAATTTAAGTAGTCAAGAAAAACAAACAGAACAATGTAGATTGATGATTAGTTGTCTTTTCTTCACCTTTAGTTGTGGAGCAGGGGATTAGCTAAATGTAACAGGTTCTAAAAGATACATTAGCTTGATTTACATAATCATGAAATCAAGCTGATGCAGATGACATTAGGCCAAACTTTGCCCTTGGTGATTATAGGAAGCCACCAAGGCTGTGTAGAAGGTTATAACTTGTTATAAGTAAAATGACACTTTACTTTCAGAACAAACGTGCAATTTTACATGATAAGATGCTGATCAATAATCAAATGCTGTTTCTTACAGTCATTGGGTTGGGATCCAAGATTCGAGTTATCAATTTCCGGGCACTGAAGGAAAGCCATGGGGGGCAAGTAAAGTCAGCAACTGAGATCTGTGGATCAAGAAACGAAAGTAATAAAGAGAAGGGAAAGAGTGGAATTGCAGTTGAAATATGGAACAACTGAATACTATTGCTTGATTATTCATGTACAGATGTTTATAATATATAGACTAATGTGAGTAAACGTTTTCCTAAGGAGGAGCTGATTTTAGGGAAACAAATAAGACCTATAATCTGCCAAATATCTTCCCTGTAATCTGTCTAATAAATGGAAAAAAAAAAACTACAACAATTACACAATTATTTATTCTATATTTACAACAATTGTGCAATAAAGTTCAAACAGTGCTCACTTTTTTATACAGGTTCATGATATTAGGGTCATCGAATGGCAAGTAACCTGCAACCAATACAAAGAGAATCACCCCACATGACCACAAGTCTGCAGTTGCACCATCATAGCCTCTATCATTAAGGACCTACGTAACAAGAGTTTACAGTTAAAAGAGTGACTCAAAATGTATGAATTTTGGTATACAATTCACAAGAAAGTAGCATGACATGACATGACATTTGTCTGCACCTCGGGAGCAACATAATTTGGAGTTCCACATGTAGTATGGAGAAGTCCATCATCCTGTCAAGACAACCATTTTGTAAGAAATACAAATCAACCCTCTTAGGATGCATGGAAACTTCATCAAGTATACATTAACCAAAGAATATGTTCAAATTTACAACCATTCATATGCGAGAAGAGAGAGAGAGAGAGAGAGAGAGAGAGCAGTGACTTGGACACGACACAACTCACTTTTCATTTGAGGAAAACTAACTCTAATTTTAGCATATCAATTACAGAACAATAGTAACTTGGTAGCCAAATCTTATTGTCTTCTGAAATTAAAAATTTTAAGCACTATATATTCCACACTAATAAAAATGTAGCCTTTGCAGCTACCAATATGAATTATTTAGTTTTCGGATTCACAGACTTGTACATAGTTAATGTAATTTTGGAGAGGTATGAAAGAATCGGTAGCAGAGGATAACTGAGTAAAAGGATTTTAATATTTATTATATGATGTATAAATGATTGAATACAATCTTTTGATGCTGTCAATGCTTAATCGTTCCAACTTCAATAATGTCACTTTCTAAACATTCAATTCTTTCTTTTGCTAAATCTTAAACTTACTATCGGCATAACCGCCAGATTCATCCATCCTAAATAATTAACACAAATCAAACCCTGTATCTGGTCATAATTAATTACCTATCACTAATAAAAAGGTTGAATGTTTTCTTATCTTCCTGTGTTTAATTATCTCCTTTCCTCAATTCCAAACATATATTCGACCATCACCTGAATAAAATAATCATTTTTCCAACCTTGTCTCACACATCTTGTTACTTTCTATTGTATGTTCTTTTATAAAATCAACTGGGACATAGTTTCACCAAGAAAAGCTCAGTGTAATGTTGAATCACTAACCACGAATTTTATTTTATTTTATTTTAAAAAAAATGCCATAACCTTTACTTTTTTTGTTCAGTTATAGTTAACTTCCACATATGCTTAGAAGTAGTGCGGCAGGCCAGAGGAGTGACTCAGATTTTTAATTCCAAAGATTCAGGATTTTCACATTCAGACAGAATTATAATTTGAGAAAGTTCATACAGGTAAATATTCAGAAGCATGTCAGGAAATTATATCAATAGGAATCCTGCACACCTTTTTTGTTGGGTAACTAGTATAGTTATTGTAGTAAAGAATAAGCGATGCATTTGTAAAAAAAAAGGGCATTAACCAGTCATTTCTTATTTAATATTCCTAACACCAAGGAATAAAATCATAGTATATTGGAAAGTTTGATTAGTCCCTACTCCCTAGCTTCTTAAATCCACAATATAGTGGATGATTTCCTAATTCCCACTGCCTAAGATTTTAGAATCAACAGATTGAGTTTTCATATTACCATTTTACCTTCAAAATCTTAGGCTTAACAATGATAATAGAATAACTTAACACTAGAGTGGAGCACATTCAAGACTAAATCCAAAAGTTTTCAACTTTGAAACCCTATAACCCTCCATCGAGCCACATTAGGCAGGTTTTCTAACTGTACAATATATCAAATTATCTGTCAGAATCATCTTTGGGCTATCATATTTGTATATAAAGATTACAACAGCAAACAAGATCAGTAAGATCAAATTTCTAAACTGAAGTATCAACTATCAATTCCACAAGAAAAAAAGTCCATTATATATATAAATAAACACTTGTAAGCCAATTAGCCAATATCACACGTATAATTTAAAATACATTAAAAAACATATTTTCCTTCATCTCGTTATATCAAAAATTGATGTTCCTTGCTGATCCAAATTATATTTTCTTTAAGCATTTGCACTGGACTTAACAGAAACAAGATCAATTTAATGAACAAAGATAAATAAAAAGAAAAGTAAAAGTCAGAAGGCAATGAGTCTGATTACCCTAACTTGTTGGGAGAGTGCACTCAACCCAAAATCAGAAACTTTAAGGTTCCCATAAGCATCTAATAGCAAATTTTCTGGCTGCAGAAAGTTCATGAGTAATTATGAAATTTATGTTAGAGGCTATTTCTATTTATAAATAAAAACGCTCTGGCATATGCATATATATATATATAAGTCAGGAAAAGGGGCCTTACCTTCAGATCTCTGTGGTAGACACCCCTGCTGTGGCAATAATCAACAGCATTTATAAGCTGCTGGAAATATCTACGTGCTTCATCTTCACTCATCCGTCCATGGTTTACCTTTACAACAAAAAGTCCATTAGAGCATATACAACACTTTTTCCACTTTAAGGATAGAATTCATGTATGAAGACCTCACCCAACCTATCTACAACAATACCAATGAATGATGATTGAAGGAATGAACAAGGATCATATTCCGATGGACCAACATTAGTATAGTATCATAAGCAAATCAGGTTTGGTGAACTACAAATATGTTCCAATGAATCACCATTTCTTCCTTTTTTCTAAAAACGTTCTTGAAGCAACTGAAAATGAAGGAAAGCCTATACTCACAATTTTGTCAAAGAGCTCCCCCCCAGTCACAAACTCCAAAACAATATATATTTTTGTCTTGCTTCCCATGACCTGTAAATAAAAATGTTGCAATATTAGAAAAGGAATTTGGCAACAAAGTAAAATGTGCTGAGAATTAATTTGATGTCTAATAGCAGATTTACTTCCAAGTAAAGTAATTTATGTCTAGTTGGATAGTCTGCATTAGTGCAAAAGCTAGATGATAAGCATACAAAACAGAAACATCAGTAAATTTAATATCAGACGGACGCAAGTGGAGCGCGAGTAATGAAATAACTTTGAAAAATAGCATGTATTTATTCTAACTCCTAACTTGTTCTGCATATGTAAAAAATGTCATCATGTAAGCAATTCATGATAAGAGAATGTCTAAAGGCCAGCAGCGGCAGAGGATGATTGAGAATGTAGGCCAAAGTAATATATTAAATGTCCTTCACTCCATTGATGAAGATCATTCTCTCCAAATTGAGTACTGATTTTTCAATATCAGAGTAAGAAATGGAGTAAGGCCTGTCCAATCATCACTGGGATATTATATCGTCAATTGGGTGCTTAGTGCTTACAGTCTTCGCTTAATAAATTCATGTCATCTAAAAGATCATCATATAAGCCCCAAAGGTAAAAGTTTAACTAAGTAGAATTCTTAGTGAAACATAAGTAGAATTCTTAGTGAAACAGTCAGTTTTTGAAAGTTTAAGACTCAATTGTTACCATCTGCTGCTTTTAAAAATGTTGCATAAGAGTAGTTTTTCCCTTTAAAAATAGGACAACTTCAGGCAAGAAAAAAATAAAGAGATGAATGAAGAAGAAAAAAATTATTTGAAAAAGTGAAAGAAAAGATAATCACTTGTGTATTCCAGAGAGAGAGAGAGAGACCTCATATAGTCGAACAACATTTGGATGCTTAATTAACTTCATTGTAGCTACTTCCCGCTTGATCTGCAAAATTACATTAAAAACATCTGAGAGACTTGACTTTATGAGAGGGTCTAAAGCAACTACCAATTCAAAAGAACAAGGTGCATCTGAAGTCTATAACCTCCCACCTAAGAATATGTTCAATAAAAACTAGACTTCTTCAACATCTTGAAAGGTTTAGGAAAATGAGAGAAAGCAAAGCAGTTATATCATAAAATTGAAAGCTTTAAATGAAGTAATAGGAAACGAAGAGGCATAGTAAGAGCCCAACTCAAGCTACTAAGGTATTCAACAAAGAATCTCCAAATACCACCTGCTCAGCCATCTTGTGCTTGAGAACCTTCTCTTTGTCAAGAATTTTGAGAGCCACAGATTCCCCCGTCTCAGAGTTCCTTCCAAATTTCACCTTTGCAAATGTTCCCTCCCCAATGGTCCTCCCTACCTCATATTTACCCACTCGGCGCTTAATTTTAGGCTGACTCATTCTCTATGCCTGTTAAACTTTGTGATAGATTGAACTTCTGCTCACTTACAAGGAATCTAACTGAAATGCATATCAAAATTCAGTTCCCAACAAATTGTATCCACAAGTTAAAGGATGGACTAAATAAGAAACTCAATCCAAATCTCATGCACTGAATTGTGATTTGTGTTTAGGAAATGCTACTATTGCTTATGGTTTTAAGCAAAACAATAACTTCAAAGCCAAAGATGCAAAATAAGACAAAGTCCCCAATTCATTTTCAGCATACATCCTCAGGATTAAATGTCCCTACTTTAACTTGAATGAGTAGCAATATAAAATCCCCAGAGATTCCACATTCAACCATTAATGCAGCACACTAAAGAGAACCTGGAGATATTTAAAACCCATTGATACTGGATTTAAGTTGCAGGGAAAACAGAGCAACTGTTGGGATGAGAAATAACCTCAAAGTTTGTCTTCCAGTAAATGATAAACCCACAACCAGAATTCAGCTTGAATATGAAACAAACAGGCAAATTAACACAGCATCCCTCTAGGAAATCACCAACTTTGGACACTAGATTTGTAAGAAAACCATCAATGTTCAAAAAAAATAAAAATAAAAATTTAAGGTCCCCAGTTCAAAAATCATTATGAATTACAACAAAGATCAATTTTCCAGCATTACAGAACAAAAAAATCTTCGCCAGACAGGATTAAATTATTCAACAACAGAAGAAATCGGATGGAGAAAAAGGGCACTCATGAACTTAGGACCCTCCCCACCAAAACAAACAAGATACTTCAAATCACAGACACTCAGGAACAAAAGATGGAAAACCCAGTCAGTTCTTAATTTGCACACTCAAATGAGAACAAAAACAAATCCCAGAAATTCACTTTGAAAAAAATAGGAACTTTACAATAATTCTTGAAAAATGAACAGAAAGACTGTTCAGGGGACCAATAATACATGACCCAAAGGGATGCTAATAATGAAATAGCAAAGCAAACCCAGATCAAGTTTTCAACTTTCATGTACCACACAAGCTGCACAAGGCAGTATACTATATATACAAGAGCTTGAGGCTCATATGAGAGATGGATAGACATAAAAAGGGGGAGAAAAAGAAAGATAGAACAATACTTCAACTCAATGGAATGGAGATAATAATATCTGAATTTTGAGGAATGGAAAAGAAGGAAAACTAGCTTGATAATGGTGTACAGTGGCCAGCTTTTGGTAATGGCCAAAGAGCAAGAGATATTTAAGAGAACTACCAATGGCTGCTCTGCAACCAGACAAAAAATTGCCTGATACAATCAGTAGTGCCTAACTTTTGCATTTTCTGCAATTTATTCTGGAAAAACAACTTGAACAGTTACATGTCAATACAATACTTATCTGTTTTCATGAAATGTATGTCTAATAATAAAAACAATATGTGGGGCAAAAAAAAAAAAGGGTGAATATTTATGAGGTTGCTCTCTTGTCTTGCAGAATCATAAGTAAACATGTGTTTGTCGTGTTGCTGCCTTGTAATTCCACACGTCTGCTACCGCACATTTCAATTGCAAAAACCTGTTCAAAATTCTCGAGTTATTACTGTGGTGCTGAATTTATCCAATGTCTTTTTTTTATATTTTTTTATGACCATGTTTCAACGACATCTATTAGTCTTTATTTGACCATTTTCTTGTCCTACCTAATTTTCTTATGTTAATTTTAGTTTTCTAAATTCGGGGATTACATTTTTTTTGGTAAATTACATGTTTATATGGGTTTAATCTTTCTTATATAATAGGAGACAAATATTTTCTTTTTTCTCTCTTTCCCACACTGTCTCATGTGAACATACACTTTTATATATATACAGATAATTTTATCTAGAAAAAAGTTCAAAAAACTCACTTTTAATATTACTTTGAATCACTTAGGTTTTTATGTTTTTTTAATCATTTACTCCCTGTGATTTTTTTATCCACTCATCTCCTTAATATTGTTAAAAACTTACTAAATATACTTATTTTACCTTTCTTAAAAAAAAAGTCATAAAAAAGATCAAATATCATGAAAACTTATAATATTTAATAAAAGACTAAAAGAAAAAAATATTGAATGTGTCTAAATAAAAAAATAAAAGAAAAAATAAGATCAAATATATTAAAAATTACAGCAGTGAGTAAAAATTAAAAAATAAAAATAAAAAATAATCTAAATGAACAAAATATATACTGAATACAAAAAAATAGAAGAAATATAAAGATAAAAAATAAAAAAATTAATAGAATAAAAAAATAACAATTATGAATTTTTAATATATTTGTTTTTATTTTATTTTTATTTAGATCTATTTGGCCTTTTTTATATCTATTTCGTGTCTTTTTTAATTCTTTTACAAAAATCTTTAATAGATGAGGTGGCACAAGGTAAAAAGAAAATCAAAATAAAATAGATCAAAAAATAAAACTAAATATATTGAAAACTCATAATTATGATTTCTTTTTGTTTCATATTTTTTTTTTTATTTGGACTATTTTTTTTTTTAATTTTACTCTTTTCTGTCACTATTGTGATTTTAATATATTTAACCTTATTTTTTCTTCTACTTTTTTGTCTTTATTATATTTTTTTATTTAGACACATTTGAATTTTTTTTTCTATTTTTCTTGTAGTCTTTTATTAAGTGTTCTAAGTTTTTATAACATTTGATCTTATCTTTTATCATTTTATTTTATTCTTCCAAGAAGGATAAAATATGTATGCTTAGTTTACATTCCTAACAGTTTTAAGAAGGTGCGTGGATGAAAAAAATCAAAGACGACGGGAAATTAAGTGATTAAAAAAAGCATAGCGGCATAAGTGATTCAAAGCAATATCACTGGAGATTTTTGAACTTTTCCTTTCTATCTTCTACATCACCATAAACATGGTGTCAGATATTGTGCCTATCTTTTTTCCGTGTCTATCTTACATACCAATATCCAAACATCGTTAGATCCAATGTTAATAGAACTGGATCGGACCGGCTGGGTCGGTCCAGGAACCGATAAATCGGTCATATAATCGGTCCAAGTGAAGTAACGGACCGGCCAAGCATTAGAACCAGTCCAACCGATGCAACTTGGCTAGTTTTCATGAAAATCGGTGACTCAATCGGTTAACCAGTGACCCAATCCGGTCCCAAAAAAAAATTCAAAATAAAAAATCAAAATGGACTTATTCAAGTATTTTTTGCTTATTGACTTACCTAGGTTATGTACCCACAACACTAATATTATCACAATTATGCATTATGTAGGAAATTTTGATTTGATTTATAGTTAGAGATGTCATTTTCTGAACTTGAAGTCTCGTATTACGATCATTATGTTTTTGTTTAATTATTTATTGGATAATAATATTATTTTTTATATTAAAATATTTGAAAATGTTATCATATTTTTTAGATATTTAAGTATGTTTATAATTTTTTAATATAAATTATAAAATTGTATTAGTTACTGGGACTTGCAGCTCAACCAGTGACACACTAATTGAACCATTGACTTAGTACCTTGATCGGATCAATGACGGAACTGATTTTAATAATATTTGTTAGATTAAAATTTTAAGAGAAAAGAGAAATAATAAATACTAATTAAGATTCTAATCAAATAATATGAGAGAGAGAAGCACTAAAAATATATATAGAATATTCTATGCAGCTAAACATTAACCCTATTTACATCTACGAGGGAAGGTGAGTTCTTGTTGTTTTTTATTTTTTTCTTTTGTAATATAGTGACACGTGAATATCAAGAAGACGTAACAGAGTTGGGTTTATAATTCGGACAGAGTCGGTTTTTTCATGTTAGTCCCTTTTAGAATAAGCTAAATGCGAATTGAATATAACTTAGGTTACCAAATTAGTGTTTCATTTTTATTTTAATTGAATTATTCGGGCTAGTCCATATACTGATATACATGTACTTTTGTACTCATTGATAAAATCAAAGTTTGAAAATATAATTTTAATGTGTGTGCTTAGCGATGTAGATTGAATACGAGAGATTAAAAGTAGAATTGGGATTTGCGCAATTTGTCATAAAGTACAAAGATGTAGCAAAATTAATAAAAAAATATTATATATATACAACATATATAATCTTACGTATAGCATACTCATTCAACAATGAAACAATATATTTGTTCGGCAATGAAATCACATATTTTTCAAATTAAATTTCTTATTCAAAAATATAATGAAATTCCAACAATGTTTAGTTTAATACGATAGAGAAAAATTATAATTGCTTAATTAAGAAGTAATTTATGTCAGTTTCATTGCTTACTTGCTAATGCCACCGTTTATGAGAATTTATTTCACGTGAGATTTTGTTTGTAATAGTGCCACAAGAATCCTCAATGATTCAACTAAAACAGCCAATATGACTGTTAGTTCGAAATCCATGCAACTATTAGGTAAAGAAATACATATGCTCGAGTGCCACATATGCTCACACACCCTCAGCCCTTAGATGATGTAATAAAAAATAATTAACTGCCAGTATTATTTTCACGACTTTAATATAAGGATGAATACATGAAGTAAGCAAGCATTTATGTACTCAAGCATGTATCAATAAAACTTTTTTGTAAAGGTTTAGTGAGTGTATTTTTAAAGGATATAAGTTATATACTTATAGCAGTTTTAATTATATTCTTGTGATTAAATAATGATAGCATAGTTGATGTTAGGGAACTGAGCAGGTGGAGTGAGAGTATGTGTTCGATCCTCCCCAATATCGTTATTGGGAGGAGTTTAAAGCCCAATCTTGGGACCCGTCCCGCATTGGACTAGTCACGAAGCGATGAACCGATTGAAATATCTTTAAAAAAAATTTATACATTCTCGAGAATGTATAATTATAATATTAAAGTTATACTTTTTTTTCTCTCTTTAAAAGTTGTTTCTGATGTGAAAAGTAAAAAAAAAATATAATTTTAATATTATAACTATGCATTCATGAAAATACAAAATTAAAAATTGCTAAAAGGACATAAGCCATGTGTCGTTTAACAGGATACTCATTTTTTTCCTTTTTGTAAACGTCAATTTATTATGGTTAAAACTTCCATCAAAATTGTTTAAGTGGTTTATGAATAGTGTACACGCATATCCACTGTGTGTATGTAACATAATTGTCAATAGAACTTCCGAGTCATAATAGTATTTGTGTCAAGTGAGCCAATATCATTATCAATGGATTAAGTTATACCAACTGTAATAAGTGGATTTGATACTATATTTTAACCCGAAATCTTAATGTAATAAGTTTATGAGTCTTTTCACTTATATGAACTTCACTTAACTCATTATCAACAATGTGAGACTTCATCACATTCGAATACCCTAACAATTTCTCTCTTAAGTGTGAAACCCCACATTAGTATGCTTCATTTAATACATTAGATTTAAATATTCAACACGCCTCTAGTCAAACACTAGAATAATTCGAGCCAGAGGCGGACCGGTGTTGTTGCATGTGTCTGCACATGCAGACACAAAAATTTGAGAATCTTTTTTTAAAGGAATGTGTGATTTAGGTCAAGTAAAAAAAATAAAAAATAGGAAGATTGAAAAGAAAAAAATAAAAATAGGCTCAAGCCCAACCCAACCAACTCATATAATTAAAAGTTTAAAGCTTAAACCTACCCTATTGCTTTGTCTCTTCTTTTTTTGAAACATAAACCTTATTAGCTCCAAACCTTAATGGATATCAATGATTCCTGAAATTCAATCTTCATCAAGTGGAGGAGAATCACATGAAATTTTTCACCTTTTTTTGTGAAGCAAAAGTGGTCAACTTGTTATCAAAAAAAAAAAAAAAAAAGTGGTCAACTTTGGATCAAATAGACATCGATAGAGGTTGGTTTTTGATCAATTAATCCCTACAATTAATACATTTAAAATTTTTTTTAAAAAAAATCTTCCAATGTCCGCACACTGATTCAAGCATAATCCAATCGGATACCATTGGCAGGCGAGCCAAGAAAAACCCATAGCAAGGGACTAGCACCAATGAATTAAACTGGACTAACTAAAGGCAAGAGATTTTTAAGAGAACTACCAATGGCTGCTCTGCAACTGTAAAGAACCCTTGGGATACACCACCCCAAAAGCTAGCTCAAGAGGTGGGAGTGCCCAAGGTCTTATAAAGGCCATATTAGTTGCCCATCCAATCAATGTGGGGCTATATATCTCAACACGCCCCATCACGCAAGAGCCTTTTAGGCTAGAAGTGTGGAAATTGCACAGGCCCATTTTTGGTTTACCTTTTTGTGTTTATTTTATTTTATTTTAATTCCACTTTTTAAAGCGGGGGACGATGAGGCTCTGATACCATGTTAAGAATCTTGGGATACACCTCCCCAAAAGCTAGCTCAAAGGGTGAGAGTGCC